AAAATGTTTACTCATTCAAATTAAGAAAACGAAATAAAAACTTTTAAAACGTCATAACCCCTAGTAGAAATTTGTCGTGGCATGACTAGATTTATTCAAGTTACTGTACAGTTTTAGTCATGGAAGTTTAATCTAGCTTAACTGGCGAATTACTAGACAGCTACTGCATAACACTGTTAAAGAAAATATAAAGTTGAACTTGATTATTACTGCATAGAAGTCCTGTACAGTTATTTTCATGGCACTGTCGAGGCGTTCCGAGAAATGATGTTCCAAAGTTTGTCGTGGCGTTAGCGCTACCGCCAGTTTCAGTAACTAAACAGTTGTGTATTGACATTTTCGAAATATTTTCTATAAAATAAATCTTTTGGTTTTACAGTTTATAGTTTTTATAATTTTAATTTTGTTCTTTTATTTTACTGTTGACAACTAAATAACAAATTTTTTAAATTATTTAATATTAAAATTTTGATTTAATAATAAAAATTTCTTTTCAATCAAAATTTATTTTTAATGAAAATTCCTTTAGAAAAAAAAAATTTTTTTAAAATTCGCTTCAATTAATTGAGTTAATTAAAATAACTAATTTTTTAAATTCAGAAGACAATTTCTTTTCAAGATTATATACTCTTATTATATGTATAAATATTAATTTAACAAACCTGTTACATACAAAAAGTTAGAATTGGTCCAATAAAGTGAGGTTATGTTTTACATTGATGAATTGACGTTGACATATGTATAGCTCTCCGATCTGAATAACAGAACTGTCTATAATTAATGACAGTAGACAGTAACAATTTATTACTAATTCCTTACGGAAAAAATAGACATAATTCTAGTTACACCCGCGAATTATTTCTTTCAGTGTATACTCTGATGTATTTATGGAAAATGTCTACACAACACTGTTCAGTTGCTGGACTGACGGTAGCGCTAACGCCACGACAAACTTTGAAACATAATTTCACGGAACGCCTAGACAGTACCATGAGAATAACTGGACAGACAGAACTTCTATACAGTAATAATCAATAAGTTCAACTTTAGAGTGTTATGCAGTAGCTGTCCAGTAATTCGCCAGTTGAGCTAGAAAAGATGAAAAAGGGAACTGCTTTACCTGCCGGTAGAGTATGGTTCTTATTTTTCCGGAATCGTCCATCGACTAGAACGGCCGTGATGCGTAAAGCGTGCGTTTAGGTATTTCGTCCCAGTGTGACCCGAGTTCGCTCCCCGAAACCGCTAGATATTTTTCGTTTGAACTGAATTAATTCTTCATATTAGGGTTTACTTATAAGTTTGTAGTGTGATAAAATAATAATATTTATTTCAGTGTTGTGCTTAATTAAAGGAAAAAGTGAATGTTGTTTAATGTAAAAAAATGACATGTGTTCAAGAATCAGTAATTTTTATATTTTTTTTTAATTATGTAGTTATTTAAAAATAATTTTACAGATAATTTATTATAAATCATTTATTATACGGAACAATAGATACACCAACAGTAAAAATATAGTTTCGTAAAATTTTAATTTATTTAATTTGTTGACAAAAAAATTTAACGTTATATTTTCAAATTTGTACGTGTTTAATACGTAACGTCAATATAAAGAAAGTTTTGACATTTCCAAGTGAATTATTTTGTATAGTTTTTCTACAGGACTGATGATCAGAAACTGTAAAATTTGACTGGACAATAACTTGAAGAAATTAGCGTGACATCACTTTATAGTTTTTAGCCAGTTTAACTGTAAAGTGCCTCGAAATTTTCCAGTGGAACTGTCCAGTGCCCTTAAAGATACTATGACAAATTTCTACTAGGGACATTGTTAAAAAAAACAGTTCAAAGAAAAAATTCAATTACTGAAAATTAAGAATTAATTAATTATAAGGAAGCAGTTTAGAGCACTAATATATATATATAAAATGCGTAAGTGAGCAGTTCAATGAGAATTTTCTACTTTACACTATTACAATAAGCGCTAATTATACATGTTAATCAAACAATTAACAATGTCATTGTATCACACGTTTAATCCTTTTTATTCTAATCAAACAATTTGCAAGCACGTGAAAATTTCCTGCTCCTAATAAGAAAAAAATATAAATAAATTAATAAATTATGATTATTATTATTTAAGAAGAAAAAAATCCCCGGATATTTAAGTGACGTTGTACTATTCAACATAGTGACGCTCCTTCTTTTTTTTTACTTATATTGTTTCGAGAAAAAAAAATATATTTCCGCGAGCCGTTTGAATTACTTTTGCGTAAGTGGATTAAAGAATTTTGTATATATTGAGAAAAATAGTTAATTTCCTGCATATACAAACGTTAGTCACAGGTCACCTGGGTGTCAATGACTAGGATGCAAGAATTCAATATAAGAAGAGAAAAACAACAAACTAAACGTCTTGAGACACTTTAACATCACGATAGAAGATTTTTAATGATGATATAATTAATTAATGGACGCGTCAATATTGACGCAACATGTATGTCAATTATAAAATCAAATAGACTAGAAAAGAGTCGAATACAAACGAATAGTATCAATTCGGCCAGAAATATTTCTATAAAATTTTTAATTATTTAAAATTTGTCATTAATTAATTAATTTGTCATTAATTATTAAATATTATTGCCTAATTATTATTAAATATACTTTTATAATAATTATGTCAAAGGGGAGATTTAAATTTAGTTCAAAAAACATTTAAAGCAAATTTACAAAAAAAAAATACTAAAAGTTAAATATTATTTAATAATTAAATCATTAATTAATTATTTTAATTACTATACTAATTACTATATAGTATTTATGGAATTAAAGTGGATAATGCTAATGATATTTTTCTAATCAACGAAATAATTAATTTCTAATCTGACAAGGTAATCAGCATCACTTTGACAATTGTTTAATTAGAAGAAATTACTATAATACTTTTATCGTAAACCTTCAGAATGAATGAAGAATAATTTTTCGTTACATTGACATTAAACTATAAACATAATAATAATAATTAGTATAAATTATCGTTTAACAATTAACTGTACATAATTCCTACTTATAAATCAAGACATTAATAAATGTTTAATCAAACAATTGTCAAAGTATAATAATGATTACCTTGTCAGATTTCAGAATTAATTATTACAGCGATGATTAATTTCTTTTTCCATCGTAATTTTTTCACTCTCTTCTTCAAACTAATTAATAAATCAACAAAACTTAAAAGTAAGATTTAATAAAAAAAATTCTCTCTCCTATTTTTCTCCTATTTCTCTCCTATACACTGACAACAAAATTTATTTTACTCAAAGAACGAATTTTTTTTAATAAAATAAATTTTATTCCAGTATATTTTGTACTATTTATATTTTACTAAAAAAATAATTCTCTAAATTATTTTCATAAATTTTTATTATAGTTGTAATTAAGTTTTTATTTAAAACAAATAAATACTCTAGTTGACTCTGAGACAAGTGTACGTTTATTTAACTCAAATAAAAACTTTATTTGCGGTTTAAATAAAATTTTTCTCTGGGTGTATAATTATTGTTCCAATTATTTATATTATTTTTATTATTATTTAATGGTGATTTATTTTATTTATAATTTATTTTATTTATAATTTATTTTATTTATCTCAATCATTTTACACCGAGGGAAAAGTTTTATTTAAACAAAATAAAATTTACATGAGTTAAATAAAAGTATATATTTGTCTCAGAGCCTACTAAATTTATTTCATAAATAGGCAAATAAATAATTATTTGAATCAAATAAATTTTTGTCATTGTATAATAATAACGTAATAGTTATAACATAATAAATTACAATTATCTAATTCAAGTTTAATTATTTAATTAATTAAAAAAATTAATATAATTCTAATAAATAATCTAATCAACTACTTTTTTTTATTGTATGTAAAGAACTATATAAATTTCATTAACGTCAATTTTTTTTGCACTCTGTGTGTGTTTGTGTTATTAATGGAGTATCAACAAAGAAGACATAAAATAAAATGCTGAGCGTTTGTGTAATGTGAAAAAAAATATTCTTGATCTTGACCTGGGTTGGCTTGATATTGTAAGAATGTTTCTTTTACAAATGCAATCGACTACGTAATAATATAACCAATTTGCTTCCTTACGCAATAAAGTACACGCACCTGACGTCTCAAGTACATAAAATTTAAACGAAATCATTTCTCATCGAACATGAAAAGTCGCCGGACTAATGCAAAAAGAACTTATCATTCATTATTAATTATGTATTTATATACATACATAATTACATATACACACAAGAATTTTGTATATTTCAATTTCTGTTGTCAAAAAAGAAAGTGAAATGTCATTTTATTAGCATAAATAATATTAATAAAAATGAATTAGTCCTCAGAATAATAAAAATAAAAATATAATAACAATATTACATAAAAATATACTAAGAATAATAATAAGAATAATATAAATATTTATAATAATATATTATAATAATAAAACATATTTCTTATTATTAGTTATATGTAGATAATTTTCATTACAATTATTATTGTTGCTATTATTATTATATTTTTTTATTAATATTATTTTTATTATTATTATTTTTATTTTATAATCATTACTAATATTATTTACTTATTTCATTAAATATTCCCACAACACAAGATTTTGCATTTGAAAAAAATTGTAAAATGCAAGACACTTGTTTAGCATAGAATGATTAATTAACACCGCGACTCAGAATAAATTTGTACTTTTTCGCTTTTGTCTCCAACTTCCATAACGATATTTTTTGATGATTTAAAATCCCCCCCGTAAATCATTCTGACGAATAAATCAAGAATATATCAAATTTGAATTTATGGAGAGCGTATATAAGAGAAAAATGTAAAATTTTCCTTTTATACATATATATATACAGTATACTATAAATATAATTTTCCTAATAGAAAAGCTAATTTAATATTTCTTTTTTTTTATTTCAGAGTATTGCAAATGTAGTAAGAGAAGAATATTTCAAGAGGCTGGGACTTAATTTATTGATAAGACAAACTAATTCTGAACCACTTGTGGAAATGACTGCTAAAGAATTTATGTTTGGTTACAAATCAACGCTAGTTACTCTTGGTTATCATGTAATGCCAAATTGGATCAAATTTGATAAACTTGGTCTCATTGATAGGGTAAGAAGATAAAATAAAAAAATTATTATTTACTTATAGTTTTTTATCGTCGCAATTTGCGAAAAAAAATTAATCAAAATTATATCTTTAGTAAACAATATTTTTTTTCTTAAAAAGAAAGAAAAAAAATTTTTAATTCTTCATATCTTTAAAATATTAATACAAAACAAAATAAACTTTATCTTTAATTTAGAAATAGAGAGAATAAAATTCTAATAATGAAAACAAATAATTTGTACTATAATATTTTATCTCTAATAGGAGAAAAACATTGTTCATTTTTTATTAGACACAAAATTAATTTTTATTTTTAATAAATTTCCAAAATATGTTAAATTAGAAAAAAAATTGTTAATAAAAAATTGTTTTTGTACTTAATAATTAAATATTTATCAAAAGCAAAATGTTTTAAATAAAAATTTGTATCTTTAACGTTAGAAGAATAAAAAAATTACATTTTTAATAAAAAATTGTATTCTATCTGCTAATTCAATATTTATCAAAAGCAAAAAAGCTTTAAATAAAAAATTGTATTTTTAACGTTAAAATAACAAAATTAAATTTTTAATAAAAAATAAATAAATCTTAAAAAATTATAAATATATAAAGAAACGAGTAAAAATGTAACAAAAGAAATTATTAAACTATTTAACATTTATCGAAAATAAAAAGTTTCCAGTAAGAAAATGAATGAATAAAAAAAATTTTATCTCCAATTGCATCTTTATAGATAAAAAAAACAATTTCTTCCTTAATAAGATAAAATTATAAGTCTGCAATTTAACAAAAAAATAAATAAACAAATTGTACGAGCATTAATCAAAGAAAATATAATTATTGTTTATAAACAAATTATTTTTTAAAAAACTTAACACTGCAAAAATCGGAAATTCCAAAATATAATGAATATTAAGAAAAATCATTGCTTTATATTTCAATGTTTAGTCTTTTTCATTTCTATTTCAAGAATTTCGCAAATATAATTATATTATATTTAACAAAATCAAAGATAATAAAAATTAAAAGAAATTATTTTAATTTGTTAATTAAATTAAAAATTTGTGTTAAAGATACAATTTTTTATTTAAAACTTTTTGGTCTTGAGGTAAATAATAAATTATTTTTTTCTAATTTTATTTGTTTTTGAAATTTTTATTAAAAATTTAATTTTGTTTTTCTATTAAAAAATGAAAAACAAAATTTTGTCACTTTGGAAATGATTTTTTAATTATAATAAATTAAATTTTAATTAAATTCACAGATGTATGACTTTACTGGCGATTTTGAAACTGTTTACACGGGAGAAACAGACGTGAGAAAAACTGGATTGATTGACACATACAATGGAGATGTAAATTTACCCCAATGGCAGGGAAAATGTGCCAACGTTAATGGAGCTAGTGATGGAACCAAATTTCCAAGTTACATCGAACCTAACGACACGCTATTATTTTTCCGAAAAAGTCTTTGCCGAAGTGCTAATATGGTGAGTTCAATATTTAATTTTTAATTTAATTTAATATTATGACATTTATTTATATTTAATTTGATAAAAAAAATTATTATAAATATTTGTTAAAAACTATTTACTAAATACCTGTTAAAAATTATTTATTAAATACTTGTTTATTTATTCTATTTTACTGTTTGTTGAAATGAATCCAATATAGTTCAAAGGTATTTATTATTAAATATTTGTTAACTAGTATTTATTAAATATTCGTTAAAAAGTATTCATTAAATATTTTGTAATCAAATTAATATAAATAAATTATAAGTAAAGAAATATGAATTATATATGTATAATATATAATTATGAATAAATATAATTTAAAAAAATTGTGTAAATGACAAATTGATCATTACAATACTATTATGCCCAGTTATCGTCAAATAAGCAATTTTTGAAAGACTAAATTTTAAAGATATAATTAATTATTAAATAATTAAATAATTAATTATTATTAATTCAAATAAATTATTTATTTAATTAAATAAATAAATTAATTAATTAATTAAAATTGATAATAACTAAAAATACAATAATCATTAAAATAAAAGTAATAATAATTAAAAACACTTCCTATTAAAATTTTTATTTTTACTCTTGTTAATATAAAACCATTAAAATGAAATTAAATTTATAATAAAATGAATATTACATTATATTAACATTAATATTTCGAAAAATAAATATTAGAAAATAAAATCATTATAAAATCTTTAAAAAAAATTTATATTGGTTAGAAAAAATTCTGCAACTGTGGCATTGTGACGATAACTTGGGGCATTTCTCTTTAATAAAATTTTTAAATTCATAATAATTCTATTTAATTTGATTTGTTACTGAATTTAATTCGATATTAAATTTCATTCAATATTAAAATTAATTAAATTTAATAAAAATTACCATTTAATTGAATTTATAAAATAGTTTCATATCAAATTGATTATTTCGAAATTTTCCGATTTCCCTACCTACCCAAGTATTTAAAACAAGAAAAAAAATATTTCATTTTGTCTATAAAAAAAAGGCTATTCCTACCCCGTATCTATTTAATGCAAACCCACTTTTAAATAGCAGGTAGACACACAAGCACTCCACGATTCTCTCACATACCGCCCAGGTGCAAATTGCCTACTCTAGGGATAAAGGGTCACGTTAGGCTCACCCATACGTCCCGGGACGCATCCGTCACCTGAGCTCAAAACCTATTTAAAAACATAAATAAATTTACAAACAATAATACACTGAAAAAAATGCCTAAACGATTTGAGCATCCATTAAAGCATTAAGGTTACTTTAACTAGGAATCTTGATTATATTGACAAATTTAATGCTGTAGTAACCAGGATTCCTAGTTAAAGTAACCAAAATTCTTAGTGGATGACTCTTGTAACTAGGAGCATAGTCGAATCGCCTAGGAATTTTTTTCAGTGTAGGCAAAATTTTAAATTATATTTTTTTAACCCTCCATTAACATACTTATTTTTTGTCACGCCATTGGCATACTAGGTCAAATTGACCCAAATTTGATCATCATACCATTTAATAAATACTTAAGAAGATTTTTTGAATACTACAATTAAAAATTAGATTTTAAAGTTTCCTCAGTATGATTATTTATTATTATTATTATTTATTATTTATTATTTATTATTTATTATTTATTATTTATTATTTATTATTTATTATTTATTATTTATTATAATTTCCTTAGTATGATTATTGTTTTATATGAAACTAGCTGTCGTACCCGTCTTCGACGAGTTTTAGTTTCTACTAATCGGGAATTTAATTTGACTGGGAAAAACTAATAATTAGTTCCTATTAATGTATTAAAAATTAATCCTAATTTTCCACCAAGTAGGCCCCATGTTACGACTGCTAAAATCTAAAATAAGACCTATATTGTAGGCTGAAAGTAGGTCTTAGATATTGACAAATAATTATATTACATCAATAGAAATTAAAGCAAAAAGCAATTTCTTAAAAGGAATTAATATAATAAAACTTTTTTTAATTAGATAAGAAAATTCCCGATTTTTCCTGGTCGAATTAAATTCCCGGCTATTTTTTTGTTTATTGTCATTTTTGGAATTCTTACTACTCGAATATAAAAACTAAACATAAATTTTCAAATTCTATGCAATGTACAGACAAAAGTCTGATCTTATTTATAAAGATATTCCGTATTAATCCGTATTATTGCGTATTATCGTGGATTATTCCGTATTATTCCGTATTACTGCGAATTATCGCGTATTACTGCGTATTACTGCGTATTATTCCGTATTATCGCGTATTACTGCGTATTATTCCGTACAACTACGTATTATTCTGTATTATTCCGTATTACTGCGTATTATTTCGTATTATCGCGTATTATTCCGTATTATTCTGTATTATCGCGTATTACTGCATATTATTCCGTATTATCGCGTATTACTGCGTATTATCGCGTATTATTCCGTATTACTGCGTATTATTCCGTATTACTGCGTATTATCGCGTATTACTGCGTATTATTCCGTATTATCGCGTATTATTCCGTATTACTGCGTATTATTGCGTATTATTCCGTATTACTGCGTATTATCGCGTATTACTGCGTATTATCGCGTATTACTGCGTATTACTGCGTATTACTGCGTATTACTGCGTATTATCCCGTATTATCGCGTATTACTGCGTATTATCGCGTATTATTCCGTATAACTACGTATTATCGCGTATTACTGCGTATTATTCCGTATTATTCCGTATTATTTCGTATTATTCTGTATTATCGCGTATTATTTCGTATTATTCCGTATTATTCTGTATTATCGCGTATTATTTCGTATTATTTCGTATTATTCCGTATTATTCCGTATTGTTGCGTATTACTGCGTATTATTCCGTATTATTTCGTGATATTTCGTATTCTTTCGTATTATCGCGTATTATTCCGTATTATTTCCGTATTATTCCGTATTATTCCATATTTTTTCCTATTATTAAATTTAAAAAAAGAAATTTAATTTTAATGCAATTAAAGGACAAAATTCAACTAAAAAAAGCTTTTAATTAATAATGAAAATATACTTTTATAATTTTTTTATTCATTAAATGTCAATTGAATTATAGTAATTCTTATTAAGCCGGATCAAAATAACTCAGAGTGCCAATGGAAGGTTAATAAAATAAGAAATTAAAAATTTATACCAAAAATGTAACGCGCTTCACAGAAAGGCACCTAAGAAGCAAAACATTTGAGGTTATGTTTATAATTTTTAGAGTAAAAATACAGAAAGAGAATCACTTACTATTAAAAATTATTGATGTTTAAGTGTTTGTTGCATCTAAACGATTCAATAAAAACTAGTTACAAATTTATATAATTAAAAATAAGCTGTTAATCAAGATAAATCTAACACAAACATAACCTATTAATCATTTGCTTCTTAGGTACCTTTCTTGGGAACGCGTCACAAATACAAAACAATTTATAAATCAAGTCAAATTTAGAAACAACATAGTGACAAAGAAATAAAAATTTTTAATATACACGGAGAGAAATCTGTTGCGAATAAGGCATAGAGTAGAGGTTATGAATATAGCATAAGCACTTACTAGCGAAAAGTATAAGAGGTCCGCCTGAATATCAGTCGACTCCGCCTAATATTCAGGCGGACTCGAGCAATAAATAGGCTCTCTGTTAGGATTTTAGCATCAAACAATCGATGGAAAAAGTATATGAAAAGTTTCGAGCATTAATCCTAACAGATTTCTCTCCGTGTATAAATAGTAAATTTTCACTGGTCCTCCAATGGTACACACTGCTTCAAACGCAGGTGTTTGGTTCGTGTTCGTATGGTTGAACACTGCGTCAAACGCAGGTGTCTGGTTCGTGTTCGTATGGTTGAACACTGCGTCAAACGCAGGTGTCTGGTTCGTGTTCGTATGGTTGAACACTGCGTCAAACGCAGGTGTCTGGTTCGTGCGTATATCGCAATTTTTTCCCCAATTTTCCTACACCTATCACAATATTTAACACGAGAAAAAATTATTTTTATTCATCAAATAAAAGCTAATCCTACCTACCCCAAATCTATTTACTTTAAACCTATACTTTTAATTTTAATACTTTTTAAATTCAATTTTTATTTTTTTAAACACGGAAATAAAACGATTTTTTTCTAAATCGCCCGGGTGCAAAAAAGACTACACTAGGGATAAAGGGGCACGTTAGGCTCACCCATACGTCCCGGGACGCATCCGTCACCCGAGCGGTATGAACAATAAAATTTATAGCTGAAAGAGTATTCTAAAAATTTTGAATGTTCAAATGAATAACATATTTTTTCAAATTATAAATATTTTTAAAAATTATCAACTGCAATAAAAATCAAAAAAGTAAATTAAAAATTTTGAAACTATAAATTATTTTGTTATACTCGACGCAAAATTATGGTAATAAAATTTTGAGAAAGAGAAGTAAATAACTGTAATTCACTTGAACGTTCAGAACTTTTCTGAAAGACACAAAAACACAGAAACAAGAACATAAAAATAATACTGTACTTTTTACTAATCCTTTTTTTAAGTTCAAATTTTATTATAAAATAAAAAATTTCCTCTTTTTATTTGTGGAAAGTATTTAACTTTAAAATTTAATATTGAAAATATAAATTTAAATTTAGAAGACATTTGTCTTTTATTATTAATTTAAATTTCAAAATTAATAAAATATTTCAAAATTGTTTACTGTATATTATTTAAAAGAAGAAAAACAATGACTTTGAATTGTAGAAAAAAAAATTACAAAACTAAATTAAATTAATTTCAAAATTAATAAAATGTTAAAAATTTACTTGAAATTATTTAAAAGAAAAAAGACAAACAATAACTTTGAATTGTAGAAAAAATTACAAATTTAAGTTAAAGTAAATTAATTTCAAAATTAAATATTGAAAAAGTACAGTACAAATTACATACGCGGAAAAAAGTTTTACTTGGAACACAATTACAAATTGCAATGTAAAATAAAAAATTTTTAATTATCTCACTTAAGACTTTCTCTCTTCTAGACAAACTTATCGCTGTTCCAGATAAAACTTTTTTCCGTAAACATAAATACAAAAGAAACATTGCAAAAAGTATTAATTTTGCTAGTAATAAAAAATACCGCAAAATAATATATTTTGTCAATGGTGTCACTATGTTGTTACGATTCCTTCCCTGTTTTAAAAAAATTTCAAAATTTAGTTCTAAATAATTAATAATTAATCTTAATAATTTATAATTCATTATATTCAATAAATGAAATAAACTAAAGTTTGAGAATTATCAATAAAAATTTTCAATTCACTTATTTAAAGAAAATATTTGCAAAATAACTTAGAAGCGATAATTAAACAATTGATTTTTAATTTTCTATTTTACTTTACTATTTTACTTTAATTAAATAAATTTAATTAAAGAAAATTAATTTAAAAAGTGCATTAAACAGGGAAGAAAAAATTAAAAAATTCAATTTGTAAAAGGAGTCTGACTATCACAGTTTGTGATAGTTGACATTGTGAATCCCACGGTGGATGATGAGCCCACGTTGTGGCGATGGGATCCTACGTCATCGCCCATTCTGGGCCACCCCCGAAGATCCCTGGTTCTTCATCGCACTTCTGCGCCAGGTCGGGGGCCACACGGAACCGTGAAATTTAAATAAACAAAGAAATAAAAAATAGACTAAATAAACTACTAAAAAAAAAATTTTTAAAAAACGGCAGTGTGCAGGGGCCACTTTTCTTCTCCACATCTTTGCTCTCCTCTAGATTGTCGAATTGCAGAATGTCCAGCAATAATTAAGAAAAAAATTCCCTGACTTTTTCCTAACCTTGATTCTACTTTCTTGTAACAAAAATATGGTTACTGCCATATTTATCAATAAATTAATATCTATTAATCAAAAATCAGATTTTAACAAAAAATACTTTAAGTCTTATTAGTTTAAAAATTTTCAACTTTTTAATTTTAAAAATTTTTTCCTCACTTTTTCCTGACTAAAAAATTCCCTAACTTGCCTGACTGCTGGACACCCAAAATAGCCACACACTGAAAAAGAAAAAAAAATTTATTAGAAAATAAAATAAATTTTACGTTCCTCGTGAGATTAATAACTATATTTTAATTAATATAACTATTATTATCTTTTAGTTAAGCTAGGTAGTTATCAATTTTTTACAAAAGAAAAAATGCTAAAGGCAGTTAAAACGTTTCGAGTAAAAAAAAATAATTTCAAAATTAGTTTTTAATATTTAATTGAATATTGATAAATAATTTACCGTAGCGCCTGAAAGAAGTTTTCGATCAATATTACAATATTCAGGAACCGCTTTTCTTCTTCCACGTCCTTTCTTCCTTCAGATTGTCTTCTGAACCATGGGAATAATCTGAAAAAATAAAAAACTTTAATATAACTATAATTATTATTATTATCATTTACTGCAATTAATTTATAATTTGATATATAATATAATTTTTAATAATTATATATAGAGACCGACAGTTTTTTTTATTTTACTATTACTGTAGTCCACTTCTGTGTCTTGTCGAAAAGATACGATGACAGCATTATCTTCCTCCAGAGAAAGACTAATCCTCCTTTGATCCTCACTCATCGACCAAATGCCTGCAGCTCCGGAAACAATGCCTTTCTTTCTAGTAAATTGTTCCTGCAAATTGAGAGAAAAAAAGAATTATTTTAACCATAAGAACATTCTGCCTTTTTCTTCGTAAATTTCGAACATTTCGTTGATAAGAAAAATACTACCTCAAGTTTATTGTAATTTATTGTAAAATTGTACCAAAATTTCAGACTTCGCACTCGATAAACTGACAAAAATTCCATTCCATAATTTTTATTTTCCTGACTTTTTCCTAATTTCTATCAAAAATATTTACTTCTTTCTTATCCTGCTAATAAATTGAATTCCTGTAATATTAGAATTTTAAAAAATAATTGAATTCCTGAGACGAATTTTATTATTTATGAAAATAATTGAATTATTGCAAAAAATTTTATTAAAATGTTGAAAAAGGTTTGAATTTATGGGAAAAATTTTGTTATTTTTAAAAATAGCTGAATTCTTTATAAGAATTGTATAAAAATTTTGTTAAATAATTTTTTTTTTTTGAAATGCTATTCTAAATTAATTGTATATGTGTGAAAATTTTATTATTTATGAATACTAATTGAATTTACTTGAACACAAAAACATAACCTCTAAACGAAAATAAATTAAAAAACAAACATAAATTATGATTTATACACCTTAGAAAACCAAAAAATGTTTCTTTTGACTCCATAAAAGGTTTTCAAAAATATTACAATTTGCTAAATTCAAAACACAAAAGTATTCACCCAACACTGTTAATATTCGAACTGAAAAACAAAGATCAACAAGTTTCGATTGTTTCTCAACAATTCATCTTTGACAAAAAAAAAACTTTCGCAATCATGAAATACTACAAAAAGTCTTACCCACAATTTTTTTTCTCTTCCACACTTAACAATTTATCTACGTTTTAAAACGAAAATTCACGAAACCGATTGAAAACAAAAACATATTTTAGACTCGACGAAAGTTTCGCTTGACAACTTGCACACAAACAAGGCGATAAACTGTTCTGATAGAAGGGTTATTTTCCTCCTTTGTTAACATATATATCCCTTCTATTTGACACATTAAATTAAATAAACAAAAAAGAAACAATGCAATGGTAAATAAATTAGAGAAAATTTACACTTACACTTTCTTGCATTCAAACCATTTGAACAAAACAAACAGACGACAGCGTCAGTTCCTGTGTTTACCAACATTCTCCATTGTCGATAAAACAGAAACCGGAGGAAAAATAACTCTTCAATGTACCTATAATAAAATTTTTCACGGCTTTCCGAAATTTTGTAATCAAAATTTAATAATTTTAAGAAATTAAAAAAAATAATTAGAAAAAAAAATATTTTCAATTCGTAAATTTGATTCGATATTTATTACAAAAGCGTCGAAATTTTACTTGAAAGGAAGTCAGTGTGAATTATGAAACAAAAAAAACAACAAAAAACTGTAGAAAAGGACGATGCCTTCCAGAAACTGACCGATATCACTGATTGCTTTACCGTAAAAAAATCATCGCAATAAAAAAATAACAAGACTAAATTAATTTTAGAGAAACGATTCGCGAATTTAGGAAAAAAATTTCCAATAAAAGGAAATTTAGATTGACGATTTGAGACTTCTTTATATTCGTAAACTTACTTCCAGAAAGATGAAAACAAAATGGCCGCCGATGCTACGGCAGCGCCACTCTTGTCCAATTCCAGAAGCTCCATTGACCCTCGCCACGGTCGGTAAAGAAGAGCAAGTAGATTAAAGAGACAAAGACAACTTTGAATCTTCCACGGCTCTTGAAAATCCAACAAAAAAAAGAACAAAAAATATCAAAACCACATTATAGCAAGCCTAAAACACACATACTTTGTGTGTTTCTTAGCTTTGAATGTAAAAAAACAAAAATTTTTAGCTAAAAATCTTGACATTGTTACGATTGTTACCTTGAGTCAAGATGACGATATATCTGCCATTAATGAAGTTATCTGGTCAAAATATTTCTTCCACTTGATTCATTAAGTGTTGAGGTGTAGGAAAAACGATGTTTGAACTCTGGATTCATTTTTTTGGAGCGGATGGATAAAGATTTTTATCCAAACGAACCGAGCACTTCGGCCTCCAGACGTACAATGACGCGACGCCGACGCCATTGCCGCGCACGCGCAGGCGGCGCAGGTCCATTCCCAATCTCCTATTCCTATTGGCTGCGCTCGCCAACCAATGAAAGTTAGCAGCGCGAAAGTTTAAACGAAGCTTTGAATTTATTAACACTTGAATACATTTTCACTTTATTTTTTCAATTATTTAAATAAAGATTTTGTAAAATGTCTCTAAATTAAGTATTTACTTGTAAATAGCACATAAAGTAATAGTTTTCTTGCTAGAGAAATAAAACCAGATGATATGAACGATGTAAACACTAACTAATTTTGAGGTTAGATTATCTGTTATTTTCCTTATTTTCCTCCTGTCATTTTTCCATAATAAAAATACTGATCTGATCGATATAATCAATTTTACTAATAAGAATAATAGTTAAATAACAAGAATAATAATACTTTGAAAATTATTAAAATAATAAGAATAGACAATTGAAAAACTCTGAAATTTAATAATTCGACCAAATTCGACAATTTTGTCGACTTTGGGTAAACAGGAGGAGAAACTGAAGAATATAATTATCAATCACTTTATTAATATAATAATTTATCATTAAAACATTTTCGCAGTTACTTGAATAATACTTAAGTAATTAAATTCGTAAAATTCCTAAAAAGAATAAATTAAAATTTTTTCAGGTACGAGTGGGAGAGAAAACAATTGGAGGTCTACACACGTATCAATATAAATTCAAGGACAATGAACTCGACAATGGTATACATAATCCGGACAATGCTTGTTTTTGTCGAAAAGGACGATGCCTTCCAGAAGGACTGATCGATGTCACTGATTGCTATTACGGTAAAAAAAAAAATAAAATAAAAAAGATCGCTTAGTCATTGTTTACGTCAATTTTTTATCTATTTTTCTTGACTATTTTCTGCATGCTTTGATAGAAGATAAATCGCCAAAGAATGAATTCTCAAATATAGAAATCAATGAATCCTTGATTACATTATATTACACATATGAACTAGTTTCAACATTTTTTTTTCCACTTTTGAATTCACAAACTTTTATAAATATAAACTCGTGTTCTAATAAGGCTCTCCATTTAGTTGTCAAGAGTGTGAGAGAGAAAAGAAAAAAAAAATTTTTATGTATATATAAAATGACGCAAATGCAACGCTCTTTAATCTCGCTCAATCTAATTCTAATATAAGGAATAATTTTATAGATCTTGTTTCTTTTTACTGCAGCTGTGAGAAATTGATGGAAAAACAAGAAGGGGGACAAAAAAATTGTTAAATTTGTAAATTATACTTTGTTAATGGAAAAATGTATCTCTCTCTGCTTTTCTATACTATTTCGGTACACCTTGTTTACTAGACACTTTGGAAAGATTCCATTTCCTTGATATTAGATGTAATTTGTCGGGAGTAATTAATTACAAATGAAAAAACTTGTCTTGAGACGTTTTTTTTTAAACGATTCGACAATTAATTGAATGACAACTGTTCTCAGTAGTACAAGGATTTGAGGTGTATTTTTATCTTTTTGCGAATTCATTTTAGAAATTAGTTATTCTGTTTTTTCTTAATTTCGGAAGAAAATAGATGAGAAAAATTTTTACTGACAAATTAAGTCGGATTTTATTAATTAAAAATTGTTTATTCTTTTTTTTTAATTTCGAAACAAAATAGAAGAGGAAAATTTTTACTATCAAATTAAGTCGAATTTTTATTAATTAAAAATTGTTTATTCTTTTTTTTTAATTTCGAAACAAAATAGAAGAGGAAAATTTTTACTATCAAATTAAGGGTATGTGGAATCAGCCAACTTCAATTAATACATGTATTAATATTCCCACCGGTTTTCTAAAAAAATATTTTATAAATCTTGACAAAATATAAAAAAAATAATATTTTATTTATTGAGGCATGGATCTCTAGTCCAATTAATACAAAAATTTGCTTTTAAATATTATTTTCCATTTAATAAAAAGTTTAATATTTTTTGAGAAAAAAGACAATCAAATACAAATTAATATTGAAAAAAATGAATAAATTTATATTTTTCTATTCAAACTTTCATTTTTTTGACAATTTTCGAGAAAAAAAGACAATCGAATACAAATTGCCATTGAAAAAAATGAATGTTAACATAGAAAAATATAAATTTATTCATTTTTTTCAATATTAATTTGTATTTGATTGTCTTTTTTTCTCAAAAAATATTAAACTTTTTATTAAATGGAAAATAATATTTAAAAGCAAATTTTTGTATTAATTGGACTAGAGATCCATGCCTCAATAAATAAAATATTATTTTTCTTATATTTTGTCAAGATTTATTAAATATTTTTTTAGAAAACCGGTGGGAATATTAATACATGTATTAATTGAAGTTGGCTGATTCCACATACCCTTAAGTCGAATTTTTATTAATTAAAAATTGTTTATTCTTTTTTTTTAATTTTAAAACAAAATAGAAGAGGAAAATTTTTACTGTCAAATTAAATAGATTTTTAGCAGAATTTTTATTAATTAGAAATCATTTATTCGTTTTTTTAATTTTTGGTAGAAAATAGAGAAGGAAAATTTTTATTGTCCAATTAAATAGATTTTTAGTAGAATTTTTATTAATTAGAAATTATTTATTCTCTTTTTCTTTAATTTCAGAAGAAAATAGAAGGGAATTTTTATTGTCAAATTAAATAGATTTTTTAGTACCTAGAATTTTTATTAATTCTAATTTCTTTATTCGTTTTTTCTCTAAAATTTCAGAAGAAAATAGAAGGAAATTTGATTTAAGAATGAAATTGACGAAATTATAGAATAAATACGAATTTATAAATAATTCGTTTTTTTAAGTAATTAAAATTCCTATTTTAACGTAGATTTTTTTTAATTTGCAGGTTTTCCGATAGCACTTTCTTATCCTCATTTCTACATGGCAAATCCAGTATTTTCCGAAAAAGTAGAGGGACTAACTCCTGATCCTGAGAAACACGAATCTTATTTTTTCATCCAGCCTCGTTCTGGTTCGCCAGTCGATTTAGCTTTTCGATTTCAAATTAATATGGCACTTCAGGACATCAGTCGAATAGCTCGAGTTGAACAATTCGCCGATATTATCCTTCCTCTTCTCTGGTTCGAAATCGTAAGTCCTTTTCCTATTTATTAGCGGAAAGAAATAACTAAAAAAAACCTATTTTTTATTAACATCACAAATTTAGTTTATAATAATTAGAAATATTTTTATTTGTCCTCCAAAAACCAAAAAAAAAAAAAAGTGATTCAAACAAAATATATTAAAAGGAAAAAAATATTTCCAAGAAGTAAATTAAATATAAATAAAAATTAAATAAAAAAATGAAGTTAAACAAATAAACTAATTGACAATTAAATTTCAGGGAATGTACGAACTTCCAGAAGCGGTAAATAATAAATTCAAATTATACCTGAATTATTTACCATTTGTGCAAGACATTGGTGTATATTTATCTTTCATCGGTGGATCATTTGTCCTTATATGGAGTATCGTGAGAATTCTTCTACACCAACCAAAAAGACCCACTGGTATGGCATGGAGTGAAACGGAAATGCAAAAGCAAAGATTACATTTTCCCAGTGAAAAGGATCCGAGCGCGAAATCGAAAGAAATGGAAGTTTACTATAATTCTCTGTTGAGTGCACAAACAGAGGAAATGACATCAATTGCAATTGAGGATCTGCCAATTATCAAGGAAGATATTGCTTGAATTTAGATAATTTTCCACCTTCATTTTTTTTTTATCAATTATTACCAGTTTTTTGTTGTTGAAATTCCTGAGAAGATTCTCAAAATGCGATTCACTCACACTAATCGTATATAAATCCAAAAAGAGCTTCTAGTTCTGATTTGTCAATTTTTTTTTCATAAAAAAAATTTAGCTACACCCCCAAAGATTATTCAAAATACGTCGCAGAAAATAACGAAAGAGCTCGATATTATATTAATATAATTGCGAAAAATTGCAAAAAAGAACTATCTTTCAATCTTTGAAAAGTGAACTAATTTCAGTTTTTTTAATTTATTCAAAAATTAATTCAAACATTAGTTCAAATTAATTTATTTAAAAATAATTTAATTGAATTAATTTTTTTAATTTATTCAAAAATTAATTCAAAAAATTAGTTCAAATTAATTTATTCAAAAATAGTTGAATTCAATTTATTTAAAAATACTTGAATTTAATTTATTGATGAATAATCGAATTTAATTTGTTTAAAAATAATTAAATTAAAAATTTATTTATAACCTTAATTGAATTCAATTTAAATTATTCATAATAACCGAATTTCACTTTCATCTAAATTACTAAAATTACTATTAACTTAATAAATATTAATAAAGATTGAAAGGTCATAATAACCAAACTTCTTGGTAAAAATATTTAGTAAAGCATACACGAGAAAACTAATTAATGATAAAATTTTGTAAATATGTAAATAGCAAAACTAGATAATTAAGATTGACCACTTCAACATATCCAATAATCCAATTTATATATATATTTTTTATATATACAATTTACGTGGAATTGTCAAGGATATTTGAATAACTTTCCAGTGTCTATTTTATTCATGAAAGACTTTTTTTGTGTGTTTGTTTGTCTGTTTGTTTCGTCTGCAAAAACCGAGTTTTACAAAAATGTTCGCATTAAAACTTGAAAATTGATGATTAGATATTGAAACTGTTTCATAAAACATCGAGTTTTTTTTTCTTAAAGATGTTTTCTCACTATAATAGCAAAAAGAATTTTGCTTTTACCAATGTCATAGAATCACAATATCATAAAATATAAAACAGGTTTCGAATTACAAAAAAAGGAAAATATTTGCAATTTGAGATAGACAATTAAAAAAAGAAAATATATGTTTAAAATGTTAATTTCTCTGCAAATTGTGTGTGTGTGTATGTGATGATCTTGCCTTATTTATATACATATAGTAAATACTCTAATAATTTAAATAGAATTCTAATATCATTAATATTTAAGTAGAATTATCAAAAAAATGCCTTAATGTTCAATATTAAACTTTAAATTAATTCTCATTAAATTTGCAAAGTGTTCATTTACTTACAGGTAAACAAAAATTATTAATAACTAGTTATAATAAGTATTTAACAATTATACTTCTTTTATAATTATAATAATTATTTTCTACAAGTTTTAATATTTTAATCCTAAAATTATTTTAAAAAATCGATATAAAATTATTTTTATTTCTAGCGAAAATTGCTAGTAATTATTTGTGAAATTTTCTTACTTTTATTATTAGTGGAATTTTCTACTGACTGTTATTAATTTTTATAATTTTTTTTCTCTTGTAATGTATTTGAAATTGTTTTTCTCTCGTTTAAAGAAACATTGTAACGAACATTTAGAATATTAAGATTGCTTAATATTTTTTTGCAAGAAGACTGCGAAAATTCGATTTAAGGCATTTTTGTTTATTGAAATCTACGATTAGATTTTTATTACTTATTTAAATACTTTATGTATTCGAAAAAAGGGACAAAATGTGTTTTTTATGGTTAATTTATAAATTATTAAAATTATAAACACATTAACCTTTTTTTATATAAATATTATAATTAAGTTAAATTTAATTTAACGTGCGCCAATGCGTAGAGGAATGTGATAGAATTTTTTTTTCGGATAGTTATTTAACTGTAATATGTTAATCTTGCCAGTGAAGTAAAAGTATCTCAACACTGCGAGAACTCTTCAACATTGCTCAATAAAGAATTTTTGTAAATAACAAATGATTATAATTATTATTAATATTATAAATAATTATAACTATTATTACTACTATTATTATTATTAGTATAAAATATTTTTACTGTAAATTATTTACATAAACAGGAATTAATAGGGTAAAAAATAAAGAAACAGTTTTTTTTAATGAAATTTTCTATGCAGTTTTTTAATTAATTCATTGTTTACGAACAAAATTGAGGTGTACATCAAAATGATAAATAACACATTAAATTCGATGATTGAATTCATTTTTTTTTATATAACATTTTGAATGTGTAGAATAGTCGCAAACAATATTTTACTGTGCCAAGTACGCAACATATTGTGAGACAAAATTCAGGGTATTTTAACGAAATATTAGAAAAAATTACATTGTCAAAAAAGAAGAAAAATGGAAAATAACAAATTTTCTTTTTGAATTATAAAGGAAAAAGAAACAAAAATTATTAATTTAACAAGAAAAATTGTACAAAGAAAGAAATTTTCCAGTTTTTTCCTTTTTTTTGTAACAAACAATAAATTATTGACAATATTTCAAAAGTGCACCCTGACTTAAGCAATGTTACTTTGAGAAAGAATAAATATTGTGCACTGCTAAAAAAAACATCTTTCACAATTCATTAAAGATGTTTCATTTTAATTCTTTATATTACCATTCATTTTTTTTTCTTTATATATATATTACTAATGAACTTTTTTTTACATTTAATTCTCAATAATGAACTTTGATAATTCGTTTATTTTGACAATTTTCAATATTAAACTTTGAAAATGTTTTTTTTTTCTTAAAATTCTGTCAATTCTCTTTTCTAATATATTTATTATTAATTATTATTTATTAGAATTATTGAACTCGATTGATTTTCAATATGAATAAAAAGTTCACATTTCGCAAAAAATGTCATTGGAATCGCAGATTTTCCACTCGCGCACACATCCAGTCAAACACGAGACAAGTGTGTAATTTGACTTTTGAGTCGTAGGGAAAATGTTAGTGAAAGCTTTTTTTTTTAAAAAAAAAGGATAGAGAGAAACAGAAGTTAAAAAGTCGAAGCATTAAAAAAGCAAGGAAACAAATTTTTTTACACTTGTGAGACTAGCGCAAACTGGCTACTGGAATTTCAATACTCTCCCTTATTGCTTTCCTCGACCATCAATATTTTGATCTGTTTTTCTTTTATAGGGAAGAAAAAAATAAATATACAAAAATAAATGTCAATTTTGGAAAATAAAATTTCAAAAATTTACCAGATCGAAATAATGATAATTTCTTTTTTTTTTGTCGAGACCTAGGGAAAAACCTTAGTTTTCTTTGGAAAATAAATAAATAATTTAAAAGGATTTGTATAATAAAATTAATTTGTACAGAAACTTCCTATTTTTCATTTGGAAATAACGGAAACTAAGGTTCGTATGGTCTCGAAATTTATACAATTAATTATAATTCAATTAAGTGAGGAATATTATCCTCTTGTTCTAAGTATTTCTTTTTTAAATATATAAATGCACGAGGTTGCCACAAATCTTCATGCTTGTCCGTTTTTTTTAATCAAAAGAAAACAATTAATTTATAATTTTATCTCATTGACCGGTATGGTTAAATACATTTTTACAATTTCTGTCTACTGTCGTATCAAATGTTTTTTTTTATAAGAAATTGTTAACTACATATCATTTGTAAAATTAATTATTACGGCCATGTGGTTTTTTTTCAGGACTATTATACCACTTTGTACATTGTCAGTTAAATTAAAATGGAAAATTACAGATAAATTCTCCAAAGCATACTTCTTTTTTTTTTCTTTCAAACATTTTTTTTTTTCAATAATCTTGATTGTCGCAGAAGCTTCGTAAACAACCGCTGCCATTTTATCACGAAAATAAAATTTTCGAACACTTTTTCTTTTTACGAAAATTTTCGTTTAGAAAAAAAATTTCCACTTGAAAGAATTTTACATTTTTTTTTGTTCATTTGAACGAAAAGTGGAAAAATTGAATGCCATTTATGTATTGAATACAAGAAAAATGATAATTATGCTCTCAGCATTTTTTTTTTTAAATTAAACTCATACGTTAAAGAAGCGGTGAATCGCTTTTATTGTTCTCTCATGCACACAATAATCTCTTACTGGAAAAAGTAAGGAAAATTTTTTCAATTAAACACTCATGCAAATTGACGACAAATTTGTATCGTAATTCTTCTTCTTTTAAAATAACTTTCTTTCGGTCTAATTAAAGCTAATAAATATTTTTCTTTTTTCTTGTCATCTTGAATTTTGCAAAAATTTCATTTACCTCCTTCCAAAAGTAATAACCAAAACGCAAAATTATATTTAACACCTTAAAAATAAGAATTTGACTTATGACTCATAAAAATTATCTCCACAATTCTTATATAATAAGATTTCTTTTTTTTTTATATTTCTCAACATTCTCTTCAAATTTTTTTTTTTATATTTCTCTACGTCTTTGAAATGTTTTTTTTTCGTTTCTAACAAAAATCAACTATTTTTCCCCACTTGAATATTTGTTTCCTTCAAAATGATTCGAAATTCATTTTTTTCCTTGAAAAACACAGGGAAAAAAATAGATGATTCTAATTAGAAAACTGTTTGGTCGACTAAATCTATGAAATTTTTTTTTTTATATACTTTTATTCTTATATAGTTTTTTTTTGTTTGCATTTAGTGCAATTAGTAAATATATTTTTATATTATATATATGTAGATAGAATATACCTAAATAGTTTAACAGTGGAATTTTTTTTGTGTTAGCAACCACTGAAGAAACTGTATCACATTCATTTCAATGTTTCTAGAAAAAATGATTTTATCGTGAACCAATTAGTTTCCACACTCACAGCACGTATTTGTTTACAATATTTATAATTTAGAGACGAAAAAAAAAACAAAAAAAAAAGAAACAATTAAGGCTTGCACAAGACTTTCGAGTTGCCTTAAAGCTTTTCACATATTTTCTTTCTTGGAAAAAGCGTCTAAGAACATTAATTATTATTATTATTATTATTATTATAAAAGGGCGCACAGTGAATGTGTAAGCCAAGGCAGAGATGAATGAGATTCAGGAGTAAAGACTAAAAAATCACGCCACTTCAAATCAAAATCATTAACATCTAAGCAGGCCACTTTACATATTTTTTTTTCTTTTTTTTTCTTGAAGCCCTGTTGCACATTTAACATCGTAGTATTCTTCGTACCTTGGAAACTCCAATATTTTTGTCCTTTTTTTTTGTTTTAATTAGTTATCTAATTTTTTTTGTTGTGGAGACGTGTAATAACGATAAACTACATGAAAAAAATTATTTGATGAAATTACTTACATCTAGCGTCTTTTGTTTCCATGGCGACGAGAGAATTTCCGATTTTTTCTGTGGAAAAAAAAATGTCATTAATTATTTGAGTTTTTTTTGAATTGATTATGAATAAAAGAATAAATTAATATTAATATAGGAAAAATGAGAAAAAGAATGGTACCTAATTCTACTGGGCGAAGGAACAGGAGCATGTTCGGCAATAACTGGCAATACTGATGTAAATTTGTCAGTGGGTCTCAGAAGACGAGCTGTTCTTGATGACAATTTCCAAATCAGCCTCTGTCTATGTGGAGTTTGTTCCTGCGCATTATATTTGCTGAGTATTGCACCGACCGCATCGTGAGTCGAAAAGAAACTATCGTCCGAGATCTGTGAAAAAAGTAGAATGAGAATAATGACTAAAATAATTATAAGGGTTTAATTATTATAATTTGATTTCAATTTTAAATACAAATTGAAAAAAACGTAATTATGGAACAATTTATGAAATTATTACTATTAAGTAAGAATTCTTAAATCTTAATTAAATTTAATATTTCAATATTAATTAACAATATTTATAGTTTAAATTTGTAGTTAATATTTATAACTCCTATTTATAATTAATATTGAAATTTCACTAGCAAAATTTAAACGCGAAACACGGTGTTTCATTTATAATCCGAATTTCAAAATTTTTTATTTTCAAATATCAATTTCAATATTGTTGAATGACTTGAGATTAAACATTTTTAAAAAATCAATATTATTAGTTACTTAATTATTATTTGTTTTCTAAAATATTAATAACATTCTTTGAAACAATTCACTTATTTTCAAGAAATGTAATAAAATTCTTCATCAGAATTCAATTATTGTTATAAATAACAAAGTGCATCGCAAGAATTAAATTGTTTTCATAAATAATACAATTCTTCGCATGAATTTAATTATTTTCAATACAATTCAAATAAAATTCCTTGTAAAAATTTAACTATTTTTAATACAATTTTTACTAAATTCCTCAAATAAATGTAATTTTTTCGAAACAATATAAATTAATTTCAAAAATAATTTTAATTAAAATCTTGCCAGGAATATAATTACTTTCATACATAATAAAATTCTTAGAAAGAATTCAATTATTTTCAAAAATTTTAATGAAATTTTTCGTAAGAATTCAATTATTTTCATAAATAATACAATTCTTCAGAGGAATCTAATTATTTTCAATACAATTGAAATAAAATTCCTCGAAAGAATTAAATTATTTTGACAATTTTTTTTATTAAAATCTTAGCAAGAATTAAATTATTTTCAAATATTTTAATGAAATTTTTCAGTAAGAATTTAATTACTATATTCGTAAATAATACAATTCTTCGCAGAAATTTAATAACTTTCAATACAATTCAAATGAAATTTCTCGAAAGAATTCAATTATTTTTAATACAATTTTTACTAAACTCCTCGAAACAATTCAATTATTTTGAAAAATTTTAATTAAAATCTTGTCAAAAATTCAGTTATTTTCATAAATACTAAAACTTTTTTTTAGGAAGAATTTAATTATTTTCAAAAATTTTAATTAAATTCCACAAAAGAATTCATTTTTTTTAATTTTAATAAAACTGTTTGCATAAAAGTAAGTATTTTAAAAAAATTTTCATAAAATTTCTTCGAAAGAATTCAATTATTTTCAATACTTATATTTAATTACTCCAAAGAATTTAATTATTTTCAATACATTTTCAATTTTTTCCAACATTCTAAATATTTTCAATACAATTTTAATAAGATTTCCCGAAAGAATTTAATTATTTTCAATAAAATTTTAATAAGATTTCCCGAAAGCATTGAATTATTTTCATAAGTTACAAAAATCTTCAGATAGCAATTATAGTATATAAAATTATAAATAAATAATATTTATTGTTAATATTTGTAATTAATATTTAGAGTTAATATTTGAAATTGACATTAATAATTAATAATACTTCAATATTAATTCAATCTTTAATATTCTTAAAATAAGAATTTAGAAAAAAAATAATTCTTTACTAAGAAAATTTTGAGAATTTTATGCGGGGCAAAAAAATGGAAAGCAAATCAACCTTGCAAATTTTTTGTAAATCAGCAGCGAAATCGACCAATCTAAGCATCTCGTGAGCAGGTGTTGGCGGTATTGTCACAGAAGATGGCCCCGCAATGGAGCAAAGCATTGTGGCGTCAGCATTTGAATCCAGACGATTAACAGCAGCATCCAAATACGTGCAAAGCAACACCAACGCTATCTCCGATGGTCTCAAATTCGCGCAGTTACCATTGCAAACAATCATCTCCAATCTCAGAAGCAACTCCGATTCCTGCAAACAATAAAGATTTAAAAAATTGTCCCAACAAACAAAAAATACTTTCTGATCACATCGTCTTTAAAGTTTACGTGCAGGATTTCCTTTTTGATCACAGAAAGTATTTTTTTTATGTTCCTAAAGTTTCGAACGTTCAAATGAACGACGATATTTTTATTTCTTTTTTTAATTTGAATTTCATTTTATAAATATTGTTTTCTATAATTAAAAAATCATTTTTAACTAAATAAATAATCAATTACAATATTTTTCCATTTCTGTGTAATACTTTTAAAAATATTGGAGCAGAAAAAGTATTTCGTTCATTTAAACATTCAAAACTTGAGGAAATTTTTTTTTTCTGAAGTGTTGAAAATGTAAGAGAAAAAAATGAATAATTACCGAAACAACGCTCGCGTAGAGTTCACCAAGACCCAATTGTGATGCAACAGTGTGAAACATAACGTTGAATAGACGAAGAAATGAAAGGGCTGTGATGGGTTGAGTGCCAGGTGCCCATTCTAATTTATTTCTAATAACGTCTGACATGCGTTTCAAATCACCGCCAGTGCATTTACACTGTGAAATCGAAACTAAATGATCGGCATCAAGTGACTGAGCCATTTGGACGGCGGCTATGTGAAATGATGATACACTGATGCAGGCCATGTGCTTTGGTCTGGCCTTCATTTTTGTAAGGAATCGATCAATTAAATTGATGGCGATGAAAAATACGTCAGATGGAAGATCGTACCACACTTTTAGGCATCTAAGTACGTGGGCCGATCCATCACGTGCACCCATTGTGATTTCATCATTCTGGAAAATAAAAGAAAGAGATTATTGTTCGATTCACTATTATGCTCTTCTTCTTATTCTTATAATGCAATTTTCTTCATAAATCTTCTTAATTGAGCGCTCCAATGCAACAACTCGTTCGACGCTCGAAAATTTTTTCGAGCGTCGAACGAGTTGTTGCATTGGAGCGCTCAATTAAAAAGATTTTTTTAACTAATTTATTGAATTTTATAAATATTTATAAATTTATATTATTATACTTTTACTTATTTAGCTTCTAATTTCCTTTTTACTTTTCTTACTTTATTTCTATTTTATTTACTTTTATTTTATTTCTATACTTTATATTCATTTTTTATTTCAACTTTAAATTACTTTAATTTTTTTTTAATTTCAATTTAAAAATATGTATGAAAATTTGTCTTCCTATAATAGTTTTCAATATTTAATCTAAATGAATTGTTCAATTTAAACAAATATTAATTGAAATAATATTTCAATCCACACATATTTCAGTTAATGATAAGCAAAATTAAAGATAAATTTTAATTATTATTCAGTTCACAGAATTTACAAATTTTTTATTTTCAAACGCACCATTTCAAATTAAAAATGTAGAAAAAAATTGAATAAGATTAATTCCAAAAGCAAAAAATTAATTGAAAATGTAGAAAAAATTGAAAAAAGTAGAAAAATTGCGAAAGAAGAAAAACTGAAAAAGAAGAAAAATTCCAAAGAGAAAAACTGAAACAGAAGAAAAAATTGAAAAGGAACAAAATTTCCTAAGGGAATAAGCTGGAAAAGTATAGTAAAAATTGAAAATGAATAAAAATTCCAAAACAAAAAAACTGGAAAACTGGTAAAAATTGAAAATTAGAAAAAATTATGAAAGAAGAAAAAATTTCAAAAGAAAAAAATTGGAAAAATAGAAAAAATTGTGAAAGAAGCAAAAATTCTAAAGGAAAAACATTGGAAAAACTGAAATTTATTTTTAAATCAATTTTTATTAGAAAATTCTACTGAAATTCAATTATTTAAATACAAAAATAAATAATTTATTGAATAATTAAATGTGTTTGAAAATTCAATTCACATAAAGAATTTTAAGAACAAATTTTTAAATAATTGAATTCTTTCGATGAATTTTAATAAAAAATTTAAGAAATTTATAAAAAATTTGTAAATAATTGAATTTTTGTGAAATTTTTACTATTTTATGAAAATAATTAAAGGTTTGCGTAGAATTTTATTATTATTCGTAAATTCTTCAATTAAATATATATTATAAAATAAAAACTTCAAATAATTTCAAAAAAATCCGCAATTAAACTTTCTTAAAAAAAATTAATTCCACAGAATTGTTAGTTAAAATATGAAAAATTAAGAATTTCAAAAACTTTAATTTGAAACTTTTTCAAAATTCAATTATTTCTAAAAATCCGCGTTTTATTGCTTTTAATTCAATTATTATCAATATTATTATTATTCAATTATTATCTAAAATTTTAAATGAAATCCATTTTTAAATAAATTTTTATTAAAAAATTCTACTAGAATTGAATTATTAAAAAAACTAATTTTTTGAATAATTGCATGTTTCTTAAAATTAAATTCTCATAAAGAATTTTATCAATAAATTTCTAAATAATTGAATTCTTTTGACGAATTTTAATAAAAAATTTTAAGAAACTTATAAAAAATTTGTAAATAATTGAATTTTTGTGAAATTTTTACTATTTTATGAAAATAATTAAAGGTTTGCGTAGAATTTTATTAAATTTTTTTAATTAAAAATTAAAAATTAAATTAAATTAAAAATCATTGAATTCAACAAAAATTGTTGAAAATAATTGAAATTTTGACAAGAATTCTATGAAATTTTTTTAAAATAATTGAATTTCGGAGAAGAATTTTATTATTTACGAAAATAATTGAATCCCTGTACAAATTTTATTATTTATGACAATAATTTAATGATTGCGAAGAAATTTATGAAAAAATTTGTAAATAATTGAATTCCTGTGAAATTTTTACTATTTTATGAAAATAATTAAAGGTTTGCGTAGAATTTTATTAAATTTTTATAATTAAAAATTAAAAATTAAATTAAATTAAATTAAAAATCAATGAATTGAGGAAAATTTTTTAAAATAATTGAAATTTTAACAAGAATTCTATGCAATTTTTTTAAAATAATTGAATTTAGGAGAGAAATTTTATTATTTATGAAAAAATTGAAATTTTGATGAGAATTGAAAAAAAATTTTGAATATAATTGAATTTTTGGGAAGAATTTTATTACTTTTGAAAATAATTGAATTTCTGCAATCATTTGTAAATTTCTCTAAACCTTTTTTCAAAAAAACTGACTTTTACGAACTTCAAGCAAATTTACGGACCTTTACAGGATTTACGGACCTAGTTTCAGTCCTGATAGAAAAAAAAATTGAAAAAGAAGAAAAATTCCAAAAGAAAAAGCTGGAAAAGTAGTAAAAATTGAAAAAGAAGAAAAAATTTGAAAAAAATACGTCGGTGAAGTTTGCAACGTTTATGATCAACGATTGAAAGGAAAAAATTATTTTTTTACCCAAATGAATAAAATTTTTTGTTTACAAATATTTCTTTTTGTAAATTATTATTCAAAAAACTAACCAAAATATTTTCTATAGAAAAATGAATTAAAATTTGTTTAAAAAAATATTATTCCTTTGAAATCGTTGATTAAAAACGTTGTAAACTTCACCAACGTAAAAAAATGATAAATCTGAAGAAAAATAAAATAAAAATATTTCTCACCTGAGTGGATATTGGTAATTGAAGATTGGGCTGGTATTTGACCTCTAGCACAAGAGCTTCTTGGAGTTGCTCCAGGAGAGGTTGGATTGCATCCGGTACAGGCAAGCCCGATGCGTCCATTCCTGCAATGTGTGACGGACGTTGACTACGGAAAAACGTCATAACCAAAGTGGTTTATCACAAGTCTCTAGTCCAGGTGACCAGTCACACTACAAGAATGGCCCAGCTGGCTGGCCTGGTATCTGCAACAATCAAAAACAAAGAGGGGAAAAATTAATAAATTTCACATTTTTCTAAAGCATACGTATACAATAATTAAATCCTATTTTTACTGGTATTTAAATTTTATTACACACTGGAATTAAGTATTATTTTTACTTTCCAATAGTCAACAAACGTGCGCAATAAAATCAAGGACAATAAATAGATTTGTTGTCCTTGTGCTTTTTTTTCTCTCTCCTTACATCAGTCGTCATCTGCTGTCATTAATTCTATAGCAAAGTCGAGAATTTTTTTTTTTTTTTACAAACCGATGACAAGAAAATGATAAAAAGCAAGAATTTTCATCAAATCAGTTTATCTTGTTTTGAATTTTAAGAAATTGATTTATTTTTCTTTATTTACTGTTTTAGTGAATAAATAAATAGTAATTTGTTATTTTGGTAAATTAATTATTAGTAATTTATTAACTATTTTCTTAAAAAAATTGTTTGATAATTTGTTGACTATTTTAGAAAATAAATTTTCAGTATTTAATTTACTAAATTTTAATTAATAGTAAATAAATTGAATGTCAATAAAATTTGTTTGTAAAAAGTTTTGAATCTGAATAAAAATAGTTTCGATTTTTAAAATGATTTTCGAGAATGAAAATAGAGTGATACAAGTGGAGTACGAAAATACATGTTGAGCAAGAGGTCTGTTTTCTTTTTTTGTTATTTTAAACAATGGACAATGACCGCGCATTCAAGCCAAATCATTATCGATAAGCATTCTGAATACAAACAGAACATTAAATGTGAATATAATTGTATTTTATTTGAATTAAAAACATCGTAGTTCCGCTTTTATAATATTACTTTTTTTGTTCATAAATATTAAATTTTCAAAGTAGGACAATAAATTTTAAATCGTAATTTTTAAATTACCATTTTGGAATGCATTTGTAAAATAAATATAAAGAAGGAAAAAAATAGGAAATCAAAAAAATAAATAAATAATTAGAATATAATTATGGTTAAAATTAAAATTCAGAACTATCAATTGGTATTAAAATACTGAATAGAAGATTTTTAAATCAAGGTAACGTTTCGAAACGTGAATGTTTTTTTTCTCATGGAAATGATCCATTTTGTGTCAAGAGATATTTTTAACAAATAAATATTGGAAAACCGATCGTTAAGTTGGTTTTTAAACAACTATTTTTACATTTTTTTTTTCGAAAATCATATTTCAAAATATTCTTAGGGGAACGATTAATTATAATCGTATACGATTTTCGACAGTTAATTAATTGATGATTAAAAAATAAATGAAAATTAATACCAACAATCAATAAAAATGTCAACAAATGATAATAAAAATAACAATCAATAAAAAATTACGATAAATAATAATAAATAATATAAATAAACGATAAATAATAAAAACATAAGAATAAATAACAATCATTAATAACAATAATAAATAATAATTAATTATAATCACTCAAGAATAAATAAGCAATAAAAAATAAATACTCAATAAAGAATAAATAATAATTTAAACAATAATAAATAATGACTTTTTAATTGTACCTTAATTCACATTTTTTAAAATTATAATCTACTTTTCAAAAAATAATTTAAAATACTTATATTTCAAGATTTTTACCGGTGGAATATAAAAAAAGAATTTTTAAACTAATATCAAAGAAACTAATAACTATGATGAGTTTTCATTTTACGTTTGAACCATTAGGTTTCATCAAATTAAGACCGAGAATCATTATTAACGCTCGAGTGTGTCCATATACGAATAAATAAGAATAGGCTTTCACAAAGATTTCTTTTTCCACTTTCAAGTTTTCTTTTCAAGAAAAAAAAATAACTCTTGTTATAACTTTTTCCAATAGTCGACTCATAATTTAAAAAAAAATAACAACAATGTTTTATTGATAAGGCAAAAACGATAAGAAAAATAGGTGTAGAATAAACTTAATTTTATACATCCTATCTGGAAAAAAATTGAAGGCAAAATAAATCATTGAGATAATAAATTCTTGTTTCTTTTTTGTAAATAAATAAATAAATTCTTTTGGACTCTAACTTTCAATTGCGTTGAAAAATTAATTACTTTTGTTAATTATTATTTATTTATTGTGAAGTATTATTTTTAATTATTACTATTTACTTTTAATTATTATTAAATATTATTTATTTATTTAACATTGTTCATATGCTTTAGGCATTTGAACTTTATTTTAATTTAGGCTTCGAAACGTGAAAATATTATTTTATTAAAATTAAATATTACAATTGTTTATAATTATTAATTTTATTCTTTATTATCATATGGAGAAAAATTTTAAATATAATAATAAAAAATAATAATAATTACAATCAGAGTAATAACAAAATAATAAGAGTAATAATAATAATACTAATAACAATAATAATTTCTCGATACAAATTTTTAGTAAAAGAAATTCGTATTTTTTTATATTCTCTTTTTTTAAAAAATAAATTATACACTCTTATAAATCAAATATAGTTTTTATAAAAAAAAAATAAACAAGAACTAAAACCCCGAGATTTAGTTGCATCAAAATCTATTTTTATTCCCAAGTTGGCCTTGACTGGAAATTAAATCCAACAAATTATTCCTCACCTTGTTATCTATTTAAATTTTCATTTAACCCAATATTTTCTACTGAACTATTTTCTTTTTCGTTGTTGAAATAGATTTTTTGGAAAATCGAAAAAGGACTAAAAAATGAATTTCAAAATTTAATAAAGAAAAATTCATCCAACAAAATGAATAGAGAATGACTAGAGAGAAAAACTAAAGGTCAGGTATAATTTTTACCGCCAAAAATGTAGCACCAGCTGCATTTTTATGGTATCTATCGATTAAATATATTCTTAGGGGATATATTTTAAGGGAAACGAAACATCTGTGATGGTAAAAGTTTTTTCAAGGCAAAAAGAGACAAGAGACTTCTAGTCCCATGTGTTTGAAATTTTAATATTTTAACCGTTATTTTTATGAAAAATAATTGAAAAATTGGAAATATATAATTTTACGCGCATTGAGTCACGTATTTCGTATATAATATTTTTCAATGCCTTCATCTTTGACGTCATCTCGACAAGTTAAAACTTGTTGAATCTTGCCTTGACGAATTTTTTGGGGAAAGTTGTTATTGAATCATTATTTCACCATTACTGAAAAATACATAATGGAAGTAAGAAAAATGTATTAGTTCTTTTTTCGTGGAAATATAACTAATTGTATTCTAAACAACTAATTGTCTTCTAAACAACTAATTGTTATATCGTTATTGCTAAATTTACCAAAAGTTATTTGAAAAATAAATTTTTTTTATAAAATATAAAGAATTAATTTTTTAAAATAATAGCGATTTTGGAGTATTTTCTAGAATTTTCGCTAATAAAGAAACAGTTGAAACAAAGAAAGTTTGTTCTTTTTAGTTATCTTACTTTCATATGGTTTTTATCAATATTTCGTCATTGAATGAATAAAAGGAACGATTTAAACTTAACCTTGAATTTTGCAAATTAACGATTGAGTAAAATTTTTTTTTTTTGGAATAATTTTTATAAAGAATGTTTCTTACTTACGAGTTAATTATTTGTGGTGTAAGTAGAGGATAGTTAATATCACAGTTATTTGTTGATTTGTACTTTATCTCGTCGAACAAAGGGTTTTGTAAAGCGTCAGCGAGGCTGATGCAACTGTCAAAAAATCACCTCTTCTCTAAACTCGAAATGCTTTTCAAGGCACGAGAAAAATAATTGACCAGACACACAATTTTTTTTTGTTTCTAAATACTACTCAGACTTATATGTTGCATTGTTGTAAATCTCTTGTTAATTATCAATTTTTATTAATAGGAATGTGTAGGTGAATTCTTTTTAATGAAATATTTCGACTGGAAAATTTTCATTTTTAAGTATCACTTTCCTATTATATCCTGAGTATATATGGTTATAATAATTTATTAAAAATCCTACTAGGTTTTTGTTTTTTTGCTATGGATTCTGCTGTTATCCTTGAAGGGAAGAATGCTTTCCCTAACAGAAATACTCTCATGACTAAAACTTCCAAGTGCTGGAACGCACTACAAAATTTGCTCCATTTTTTTTTCCTTTCGTCAAAACACAATTTTCAAATTCAATAGAATTTCGCGAAGAAAATTTAAACACTTCACTTTTTGTTTTACGTAATTAATGAAAAGCAAAATGTCCTAAGAACCGTTTACCAGCGTTAATTTCATCTGACTTGGTTGATAATCGGTCACGAACGTTGAAACTTCGGAGCTGCTTCAAACATAAGTTCCACTTCCATTTCTGACGAACATTCACGAAATTCTACGGTTCTATCCGAAGTTCGTTGCTATGTTCTTTCAACCCTAACGCTGATGTTTACATGTCAAAAATATTCCCTTTCTTTCGACGTTATTGTCAAAAAAAAATAATGCGTCATATGTCATTGTTTCTTCTTTTGTTTGTTCAAAAGAAAGCAAGTATCTTTTTTAATCTGAAAAATATTTCAAAATCTGATGTTGATTGTGATTATAAAAGTAGACTAAAACAACAAATGATAAATTTCTGATAAATCCCGGTTTTATCATTGTTCGAAGGTTCCAAATTTTACAGCCTCTGGAAAATTAGAGTTACACCTCTAATTTAAAAAAAAATCAAAACACGAGAAATAATGTCTCAAAAAATTAAATAACAAAAGAGAAACGCAATTTCACAATTTCCCTGAAGGATTTGTCGAAAATATTAACGAACATCTTCAATCTCAACTTTCACTTCTTTTTGACGTTCTTGGTAAAGAAAAAAATGCAATTTTCCAAAAAAAAAACCTTGAATTTGTAAAGATACAGTCATCGGACTCGTAATTTCGTAATAACATTGGGAAATCCAATTGTAGAAATTAGAAAAGGGACAATAGGACAAATCTTTTCTTTCTGAAGAGTTGACATTTTTAAATTGACCTAATAAAAAGAGTTTACGATCACTTCCTTACTATATTTAAATTAATAAAATTAATAAAATTAATTAACAGCGTAGGCAGTATATGTATAATGATATAAATGTCATGGGAACTAATGAAATGTCAAACTAGAGTAAAGTAAAAAAAATTTTGTCTACATAACCAATTGATAAAAAATTAGAAAATACGAATTAAAAAACAAGTATTGTAAAAATTTCTCCAATTTCACACTGTGAAAAAAATGATATTTTTATCAAAAATTCTTTTTGATAACAGAGCACAACAAAGAGCCGAGTATCGACAAAAACAATAATGGCTAGGTTGTTGTTTTCTTTTGCTCTCTTTACAACTAAGTAACAACGATTATCTAATCGAATTTAATAAGGATTTATGAAAAAACACTTACCCGGATGCTTCCAGATCACTTTCGCCCTCAAATTTCACCCAATTTTGTACTAATTTTGATTATTTTTGATAGAAAATATACAAGGAGATGAGTCCTGTTTGACAGTTATTCACACAACAAGCAATGGCGTCACATACAGCTGATCATTGGGTCGGCCGTAGAACGCCTTGTCATGTTACGCACTTTTACGAAGAAAAAAGTAGTTCTTCGTAAAATGTGCGAAAGTATGTGATAACGAATTAATGATAAGTTTCCAAATATTTTAACTGGAATAAATTATTGCCGTAATTAATTACATTACGAAATTAATAACAATTCCAGTTGAAAATAGAAAAATAAATGTTTTGTAAACATTGACATTTTAGAATTCATTTATCGATTTTTCAACTCTCTGAAGTTGGCACATCAAAGTTCCAAATTTATAAAATCCAATTTCTACTAGAAAAATCAAACACAGCTGTACAAATATGTTGGCAACAATGCTGACTGACGCCACTGCAGCGCTGGCTGTCACCAGGGTTGGGCGCGTAAAATACCTCAGGTAAATTACATGGATTTTTACAGTAAAATACCTCGTATTTTACTTCAAAAGTTTTATACACAATGTATTTTTTGGGAGAGGGGGGTAAAATACGTATTTTACATATGTAAAAAACCAAGTATTTTACGTCAAAAACCTCGAGTGACGCGTCACTTCCCAACACTGGCTGTCACATGCCGATATTTTGGCGGGAATTTTCAAAAAAAAAATATTATTCTTATTATTTATAAATATTTATTAATTATTTAACAAAATCTTGCAAAATTAATAATAATTAATATAAAATAATTAATAAATATTAAAAATAATATTATTTTTTTTAAATTTCCGCCAAAACTTGATATTACCGGCAGAACTTACTGGTTATACCTTCAGTTTCTGTCGGTAACGTCATGTTATGTTTTTTTGAAAAATATAAAATATTTTACTCTTGAGAATTATATTTTTAAATTCAAAGAGTAATATTATTTATCTTTTTTAAATAAAAAAAATATTTACTATATTTTCTAAATAAAAAGAGTGATATTCATTATTCTTCTAACTAAAAAAAGTAACAATAATTATATATTTTTTAATTATTAATTTTAGTATAATAATAACAATAATAAATAATAATAAAAAAATAAATAGTACAAAAAAGTAATTTTTACAATTTTTTAAACAAAATGGACTTGTTTCGTTTTTTTCTGTAGGCAAATAAAATAAATAAAATGCAATATTTACTATTTTTTGAATAAAATAAGCAATATTTATTTTTTTAAATAAAAAGTGAAATTTATTGCTTTTGTAAATTAAAAAGTGATATTTAATAATTTTTTAAATAGAAAATGTAACATTTATAATTTTTTTTAGTAAAAAAGTCAACCTTTTTTTGTATTTTATAGAAAAAAAATATTCATTATTAATTTAAAAAAATATTTATTTATTTTTAATGATTATTTTCTATTATTTTTATAATTTTCTCTTTTTTGAAAGAAATAATTTTAATTCCAAAATATCCAAACTGTAAAAAAGTGCAATACATCCCTTACTGTAGGCTTTTAGTTTATCTGAAAAGTAAGTCAGGATGCATTCAATAAGGCGAACGTTCTTTTTAATACCAACATTTTAATGACATTCAATGATGAATTAATTATTTTTTACAGATAAATAAATTAAAATTTTTATTTTTGTCAATAAATTTGAATTTTTCATAGTATTTTTTATTATATTATAAAATTCGTTTACAAAATTAATTTATAAAATAAACAAATTAATAAAAAATTGATAAATAGAAAATAAATTATAGCCTAAATTTGAACTAAAATTATGATCGAAAAAAATGTAAAAAAATTTTTAAAAAAGTTTATAGAGAAATATTTATATAGAGGAACAAATAAAATAAATATTATAGTTTTTTAAGACTAAGAAGTAAAAGAAATTTTTTTCTAAACTGATTAAGATAATTATTTATTTCGATTACAATCGGAAAAATTAATTTTCGTGAATAAAATAATATTTTTTTCTTCCAATTTTTGCATAAATAAAATTAATGGAATTAATAAAGTCTGAATTTTTCCATTTAGAGTGAATTTAATTTTGTGTAATACATATTAGTTCGATAAATTTAATTTGTTTTTTTTATAATAATGAACCGGTCGATTGTAATGCGTGTGAAAGTAAACATTTAAGTGAAAATCACTATTATATAGACTTATGTCATCAGATTTTCTAAATATACATATTCTCTGAAAAATTTTCATATAAAATCTGTTTTTATTTGACTTTTTTTGCTCCGAAATTTTTTTTTTATTTCAATTCTGTATTAAATCTTTAGTATAGACATATTTACTATACACAATTTAAAAACGATTTGCCAAACAATTATATCAGATTTGTCAAAGATATATAGGAATGTTAGCATATTATGCATTGGAAAGTGTTTTTATTTTTTTTTATCTATTTCATTTAATCGAGTATATAGCGTGTCGTATATTGCATACGTGATACAGAACAATTTTTTTTCACACTTTACAATATAGCTACGAATTTTCTATGTTTGTTGAGAAATTTTATTTCTTAATTTCTATACAATTATTTAACATTTTCTTTCAATTTTGTTTATTACTAATTTCAATTTGAACGTTTTTTAAAAATTTTTTTCTTCAATACTCAAACTTATTTTTATTCTCAATTTTTTATTATTATTTTTATTAATTTTCATTCATTCTTACAAGAACTTGAGAATTTTTTTAATAAATTAAAAATTAAATTGAATGAATTTATAAATTAAATTATTATAGAAATTTATTTTTTATTTCAACCAAACAAATGCAGCTAGACGTGAATTAATATTGACAATAAACAAATTAAAAGTAAAAAATAAAGATAATGAAAGTAAAAATTTTTTTAATTGTTAAAAAATTCAAATTTGCTTTTTATTTATAATTATATTTCATTAAACAATAATAATATAATAATAATTATATAAAATAAAAATACTATATTATTAAAACTTAAAGAAAATGAAAAAGAATTTAAAAGTGACGAAAAAATAAGAAAGAAACGAAATGAAAAGTAAAATAAAGAATAAAATAAAAAAATTGAATAAAAATAAATAATAAAAATTAAAATTAAAAAAATATTATTAACAAATAAAATGTGACCTCACACATTGACCTTCTTGTCTTCAACACTTAAATCAAGTTTTACTTTTTCCTATACCGTCAATTAATTGCGATATTCTTACTTTACTTTGACACTAATGAAATGCCACTTGCTTCATTTTGTTTATTTAAAAAAAATTGTGTACGTGAAACCTTTACGTAAACAGTGATTTAAATAATAATATATGTATATGCAAACATTTTGCCAATTAACGGAAGTTGAACTGGATAATTTATTATTTTATCAAAAAATTTTCTATTTTTCTAACTTCAATTTTCTATATATATATTCTTTTTTCATTTATAAATATTTTTTAAAAATAATTATCAAAGTCATGTAATACACTTGAAACAAGTTTCTATTTTGTTTTATTTTTATTATAGATATTGCTCGATTTGTAACACGAAGAAACTGATTATAAAAATCAGATTTACATTAAGTATAGTGAAATCGATTTATTATTATATCTATATAGACATGTAACTCTAAATGTGAAGCCATTTTCATTTAATTTAATGAATAATAATTAAATAATTAATTATGCATTGCTGAGATAACATTCTGTAGAGGTATATATTTAAGAAAATTATTTTTTCGATTATTTTTGTTTTTCAGAGTTGAAAAAAATTATTTTCGATAATGTTTACATAAAATTAATTTTAATCTTTAGTTCAAATAAAAAAAAATTTAAGTAACAAAAATATTCGATAAATAATTAAAAATCGACAATTAAAGGAAAATATCGTCAAATAATGGGAAAAATCGACAAGTAACTAAAAAAATATGTAGATAAATAAATAATCGAAAAAATTGACAAATAATGAAAAAAATCGATAATTAAAGAAAGAAATCAACAAATATTGGAAAAAATCGACGAATAAAAAAAAGCGATAAATAATAAAAAATAAAAATAATCAAAGAAACGATAAATATAACGAAAAAAAAAGAATAGAAAATTAAATGCTGAATATAGAAAGTAAAATATATCACACAAAAAATGATTTAGAAAAAAGAGAGAAATTATGTATGACACGATAATGGGCAAAGCTTGTTTATCAACTATACAGAATGCGTTATGCAAAATAAAATCTTTATTCCAAATGTCGAATAGTTTACAGTTCAATTTCACTTTTCTACACTCAATTAAAATTTATGTAGGTACATACAATGCACTTAATTCCTATGCGCTTTCCTGCAAAATTATTTTATTCTCTACATTATTGAAAATAAATATTTTTTTATTCATTATAATAATAAATTAAAATAAATTAAAAATAAAAAGTAATAAATAATTAAGAAAATAATAAAATCCTGCAACTAGTTTATTCTCTACGTTATTAAAAATAAATATTCTTATTCATAATAATAATAAATTAAAATAAACTAAAATAAAAATGATAAAAATAATAAATTCATCATAATAATTATTTATAAACAAATTATTATTAAAATAGTTTTAAACTATTAGATTTCTTATTTATTTATTTAGTATATACTGCCTGGATATACTAAATAAATATAAATAAAAATTTATCTCTAAACAATCTTTAAAATTTACGATAATTTACCTCTATGTGTATTGATAAAAAAAATTTAATTATTTATGAAAATTAGATTTGCAACGGAATTCTAATTTTTATGTTCGAAAAAAATTTGTAATTCTGACATTAAAGTAAAAATTTATCGAGTTTAGTTCTCGTAATGAAAAATGAAAAAAAGAAGGAGTAGTGTTAATTAAAATATGGAAATTCTTTTTTTTTTGAAAGAGAGTTATGTTTGTTTAAAAAAAATGTATTTATTTGTAAATCCCTGGTTGAAAAAGTGAAAGAAAATGTGAAAGCCAAGTAAAAGAATGAACTAAATGAGTACTTGTAAATCTAATTTATGCGCTTTAAAACAGCGAGAATAACACTTTCGTCATTGATTTTATTAATAACTTTTGTTTCGATCATTGTACTCCTTGAATTAATTTATTGTAATTTTAATAATATCGGACAATTATAGTTTATTAATATTATTTTTAAGTATCAATTTCGGCATATTTTACTCATATTTATTTATTTGTTTATTTATTTATTTTGTTGTATAGGGTAAATGCACTAGTAGTCGGACACTTAAGGATACAATCTTAAATTATGCTTTTTTTCTTGAAATAGCAAATATCTACTGTGTTTATAAGCACATTATTAATTAAAGGAGTTCTTCAGGATTAAAAATCATATAAATTTGTTACAAATAGTTGAGTATTTAATAATAAATATAAACATTTTAATAAAAAATTACGAATGCTTTAGTAGTCGGACACTTTTTCCCCTTGTTTCTATAGTCGGACATCTGTCAGATATTTTGGATTTATAAAGTAAAACAGATAATTTTTTAATTGCTATCTGCTGGAAAATGGAATTAAAGCAAATTAGAAGTTATTAATATAATATTTAAACCCTATAAGTTTTAATATTTATGATTAATTATCAACAAAACTTTGTGCCACTCATCGCGCTACTCGAAAATGGTTGTATCTATAGTCGGACACCATGATTTTTAAAACATTAAATAAAATATTTCTTGTTTAATTATTTTCGAAAATAACACTATTTTCATAAAATATAAACTTTACACATTCGTCTAGTATACTTTTTAAAGTAATTATCACAATGCATTATTATTTATTTGACAAAAAACACGAAAGTGTCCGACTACTAGTACTGTCCGACTATACCCGCACTTACCCTATATTGTTTGATTTTAATTTTATTTAAATTTATTTGTAATTTATGTTAATTTGTGATAATCTTGTTTATTTTGTTTATAATTTTTTACAATTTTTTTGTTCATTTTGTTTTTACATTTTTTCTTGATAGAATTTTTGTAATTTCTATTTTATTTTTATTTTATTTTTTTATTTTAATTTGTTTGAATTTTCTTGTTGTTTATTTTGTTTATTTCGTTAATTAATTTATTTATTTAACAATTGTGTTTAGAAGTTTTTCATTTATTTTATTTCTACATTTTTTCTTTATTGAATTTCTATATATTAATTTATTTTAAATTTTGGCTACTTTGCTTCTTTCGTTAATTTTTTTATTTATTCATTTATTTATTTACTTAAAAATTTTGTTTATAATATTCTCTTTTATTTTATTTCTACATTTTTTCTGCACTGAATTTATTTCTCCTTTACTTTTTATATATTATAGCTACTTTATTCTTATTTTATTTTCTTCATTTAATTTTACTATTATTCATTTACAGTTATTTATTTTTTACCACTTACTATTTATTTTCTCCATTTTATTTAAAAACCGTTTTTCGTTTTTTTTCTCTATTCACTTTAAAAATGTTTTCCGTTTAAAGTAAAATTCATAGTATTTGTTCTTTTTTTATTACCGAAACATTAACTTGGAAACAAAATAATAAATAGTAAAGTCATAAAAATTTATCTTTTTACGAATGTTAATATATTTTTAAAAAATGCAACTAAATGTATTAGAGAGAGAGAGAGAGAGAGAGAGAGAGAGTGAAATTAAAATCGAAAATTTTAATTACATATCGTTTATTATTAATTACTAAAATGTAGACATAATACAACGTAAAGAGAGAGATTTTTACATAAAACTCGCAACAGAGTTGTAATTGTATATTTTCTTCCTAAAATTTTGTTACACCTTTCCAGTGATTTGAACAAATTTTTTCTCAGAAAATTTCTTGCAATGTATATTACATAATTGAAAAAGTCTCGAGAACAAATATTCACGACCAACGTAATATTTTTTTCATTTCAAGAGAATAGCAAAAGGAAACTAAAAACTGGACTAAATAAGGAATCAGTTTGATTTTTCTCTTAATTACGTTAATTAATTAATGAGTTAAGCATTTAATTACATTCAATTAATTATATTCAATAACTAATTAATATTTAATTGAATAATAGTTAATTAATAATTAAGTAGATATTAGCTAATTATTAGCTAATTAATGTCTAATTAATAGTTTTAGTTAGTATTCATTAGATAATGGTTAATTTAATAGTTAATTAGATATTAGCTAATTAATTATTAATCAGGTGATATCTAATTAATTATCACTTAGTTAACTACTCAAAAATAACTATTTTTCCTATTTAAAATTTTTAATAATTTTTTTTTCTTTCAATTCATTTTTTTGCTTAATTGAAACTTGTAATTCGTTTTAATTAAAATAACAAATTACAATTGTCTTTAAAAAAATTCGATTTAATTGAAACTAGAAGCGAATAGAGACAAATAATTATTACAAAAAGTGAATGATCTAATTATGAAAAATAAAAACATTAAACTTCGAAGCGTAACTTTAACGGTTTCGTTGTTCATAACTTGTGGAAATAATTTTTACACTCACTAAGTTTTGATTTTTTAAAATCACAATTTTTTGATAATTAAAAAAATTTGCAAAAGTAAAAAAAAATAATAGCGGCAAATATATATAAAAAAAGTGATAAACTCAAAAAAGGACAAGGAAAACTTTCTGTTTTCTAAATCAAAATCGTATTCACTAAAATGATATTAACGTAATTTTATATTTCATTTAAATTTATTCGGAATGAATATTTAAAATATTTTAAAATAATTAAAAATAATAATAATGTAATAAATATTATATAATATAGGTAGTTAAATGTATATTAAATATTAAAATAATTTTGTTTTTTCTTATTTATTTATTTAAAAATAAAAACGAGACAATTTTAATTAGAATATATAAAAAAGGTTTATTTCAACTAAATAAATAAGAATAAATATTGTTAAATTATTAATTGATAATAATAATTTCATTAATAACTAAATAATTTAATTAACAATCTATTATTAATTATTGTAACTAATTATTTATTTATAATAATTTATAATAATAGTTATAATAATAATTTATAATAATTAATAATAGATAAATAATAATTATGGAAAATGATGTAATTCAGAATCTTTTCCTGAGGAAACAGTGTCGAATACAGTTAGACCAGTGAGATTTTGCTCGTTTAAAACTTGTCCAAATCGCAGTCTCACTTTAACCGTCTTGCCGGTTGGAGCGCCTCATTGAAACGAGTCGTTCCATTTAAAATCAACAATCATGATAAAAACAATTAAATAAAAAATTTTTTTCCCATCAAAAAAAGGAAAAAAAACTTGTGAAAATAAAAAAAAGAATAAATAAATTTTGCCAATCGTTAGTTTTAGTGCAGTGCCAGTGAAAGTGTCCTCTCTTTGATGCTTAAAAAAAGGAAGAGAAAAATTTGAATACTATTTACGACATAGATCCCAACAAAGAAGATTATTGTTGCGCACTATTGATTCACCATCATTAGACACAAAATCATCAACAAAAAAATAAATAAATAAAAAAAGAAACAAATTGAGATTTCCGTTTAGATAACGTTCTTAGGTACAAAAGATTTCTATCGATTTTAATTTATTTTGTTATTTTTTTTTTTAATAATTACCTTGATAGTAATTTGCCAAACAAATTCGGCTAAATTTTCTTTCGATAAATATTTTTGCCACTAATTTTTTTTTATTGTTGAATTTTTATTTTATATTTTTATATTATGTTAGACTTAGTTTCCAAGGGGAATATTTTTATTTTTTAAAGAATGAAAATGAAAAAAGGAATAAATTTTTCTAGACTAAAATAAATATAAATAGAAAAAAATTTTTCCTGTCTAAATTAACTGGGAATAAAATTTTTAAATAAAATAAAAGGAATAAAAGAAATAAATTTTTAAACTGAAATAAATAAAAATAGAGAAAAATTTTCCTCCGTCTAAACTGACGGAGAACAAAATTTTTAAATAAAATAAAAATAATAAATTTTTCAAATCTAAAATAAATAAAAATATAGAAAAATTTTCCCCGTTTAAATGGAATAAATAAATGTATAAATGTTTTGAGAAAAAAATAGTTTTTATTAGAAAATTTTTAGGTATTATATTATTATTATATATTATAAATAATCAAAATGTTTCGAGAAAAAATAGTTTTTATCATTTATAATAATAAAAATATAATAACTAAAAATTTTCTTTCGACAGATTTAAAATATTATATTATTTATCGTTAATGTTTTATATTGATCGTTTACTTATAAAACGGGAGTTTATTGCGTAAAAATCTATTAATTTCTTGTCATAAATCTTATCAAAAAGTGAATAATTACACTGCAGTGTACTTTTATTGATTTGAGTGACATTTAAACAATTATAGTTGACAAGCAATTACAGCTAAGAAATTATTAAGTATGACATTTTAATTTTAACTGCGCTAGAACCTTTTTTTATGATATTTAATAAATAATTTTCCCTTTCACAATTTTTTATTATTGAGACAAACAAAATAATATTTTTCATTTAATTATATTTATTTCTTTATTTAGAAAATCATAAATATAAATCTGACGAACGTAAATTTTTATATTATAATTTTTAAATAATAAATATATTAATATTTTAAGGGCATTTGAACTATAATGACGTCATGTTCGAAATGCCCTTAAAAAGAATAAAATTGGAGAAAGAAATGAAATTTTTAAATACAGCACAAGATATTTTTTATAATCTCTTAATTAATTTAACAATTTGTTTTTATAATAATCCGAAATTAATTGAATAAGGGATTCAAATTCAGTTGAAATTCTTGATTAAATTAATTTTTAACCTTCATATGAAAAAAGGGTAAAATTAATAATTAGGGGATTTAAATTCAGAATTCTTAACTAATTAAATTAATTTTTTAACCTTCATGTGAAAAAAATAAGAATAAAATTAATAAACTAATTAGTATTATCAATTAACTCTTTACTACTTACAATTACAGATTTACAATATTAACAAACTATTATCAATTAAATTGCATTATTAATTAACTAATTAGTATTAAAAAAAAAAACCTAAACATTTTAAATCTTTCTTTATTGAGAGAACAAAATGTATCATTCGGCATTGATTCTAAACCATGAAAATTGCGCAATAAAAAATTCTTTTCAGTAAAAGATAAATATTTACTGTAAATTTATTATAATTACATTGTTTATATGCAATTTTTTCATTTTTATTTTTTCAATAAAAAAAAAAAAATTAAGTACCTGCTTATTTTAAACACACCGTTACTTTAAATGGTTATTGTTATTGTTGAAATGATAGTTTTATTGTGTGTTTATGTTTTTTTTTCTCTTTCTTTTGAATGTAAATTAAAAAAACTAAAATTTTATAGGGTGCTTTAAAAGTAAATGTTGTTCCAAAACAAGAAAGTTGTAAGATAAAAATTATCAAGATTTTCTATTGTAGTACATTATTCATGAATCTCTGGTGTGTCATATATAATATGAAGAAAAGGAGAGAAAAAAAATATCAGCGATTTATGGGAAATAGACGCATTTTTGATGAAGATTACGCGATTGTCCTTTATAGACAAAGGAAAAAAAACTATTTTTAAATTAAATATTTGCAATTGCTTCTTGCAAATAAATAATAATAGAAAAAAAATAGAAAATCGAAAAAATTAAAATTAAAAATAAAAAAAAATTTAAATTAAAAAAAAAAATTAAAAAAAATAAAATCAAAAATTACTATTGGAAAACTGCACTATTGATCTAAAATTATCCCATTTAAATTGGCAGGGCAATTAAAAACAATGGAAGAAAATTGTTTTAAACTTGAAATAAAAAAAAAAACTGACTCAGAAAATTTGTCATAGAAAAAATGCAAAAGAATGTTATGTCCTCCTTTGTATATAATGTTACATGTTACCATTTTTCACTTGCACCTTGACATGCATCTTTTTACAATTTCTAAGAGACTAAAGTCCTTTTTTTTCTTCTCTAAATGTTTTTCTATTTTTTTTCCTCCCCCCTCATCATCTTTATATATACAGCCCATTTATAAGACTATATATATGTAAAATTCTATAGGACTTTTATAATACTTTTTTCCATTTTTTAACGAGCGCAATTATTATATTTTACCGATTGCATATAATATGCGCATAGGTTCTCTTATATGCAAAAATGAAACACAAAACAGATTGTTAAATGCTTTACAACAAATCATAAATTATCTGCGCACATGTTATGTGGACAGGTAGCAAAAAAAAGGGGAAGTGGGTGGGGGTGCCATTCTCTGAGGCATGTGACGTTTTTTTTAGAAATATTTATATAAATTATTATAAAAATAATAAAAATAAAAAAAATAATTTTTTGTTTTTTTGTCAATTATAATTATTATAGTAGATAATAATTCATAATTTAATTTCGTCTGATCTCAAAAAAAACTCATTGGGAGAATTTTCAGCAAAATTAACCTGAAATTTATAATTAAAAATTTAATATTTATTCATTAATAATTATTTTAATTTTTAATTTACCTTAATTTTACTTAATTTAATTAATTTAATGTAGTTATTAATAATTAATATTTTGTCATTTATTCACAAAAAGTAATTAATAATAATAATTCCTATTTTATTTAATAATAAGAATTATTATATTATTAATTTTACAATAAAAATAAATTAATTATTATTAGAAATTAGAATAGAAATTCTATGAATAGTTCATTTATTTTTAGTTTATTTGTTCTTTTAGTACTTTTTACTATTTTTCCCTTTGTTCTATCTAATCATTGAATAAATCTATCTACTATTTTTCCTTTTTTTATATTATTCATTAATAATAATTCTATTCTAATAATAATTAATTTTTTTAGTCTATTTCTTCTTTTAGTATTTTTTTATTATTTTTTCTTTTGTTATATTGTTTGTTAATAATAATTCCTGATTTTATTTAATAATAATTCTATTCTAATAATAATTAAGTTTATTAGTTTATTTATTCTTCTAGTGGTTTAGATTTTTTTTAAGATTATTTATTCTTTTAGTATTTTTGTTACTATTTTTTCGTTTCGTATATAATATTTATTAGATAGAATTTTTTTGCTAATTTTGTTTATTTGTTTTCATTTGCAGAAATCGTGTGAAAAATGCAAAAAACACTTCAGTGGACTTTGCAAATTGTTTTTCTGGTTTTTTCGCCAATTGCCATCAAATCACAATCAACAGTGAATAAACTGAGAGGCGTGTATTCTTGGAAGGCGTTGGAATTTGCTTTTCCAAATAATCAAGCAAGGGAAAATGCAATTTTAATTGGCGATTTTATACCCGGGAATCCTGTGCCAATTGATGTTGATGTCGATTATGGAGGTGAACATTATATTATTTAATGTTAAAATGATAATATTCGAAAACTATTTCAAATTTTCTTTTTTTTTTTGTTAATTTTATTATATTTTGCAATATAAATTTATTTGTATAATAATTTTAATTTGGTCAAATTTTTAGATTATTTATTCTTCTAGTATTTTTTATTTTGGTATTTTTTAAATATTTTTTCTTTTAGTATTTTTTTTACTTATATTCTTTTAGTATTTTTTATTATTGTTCGTTTTAGTATTTTTTATTATATTGTTCGTTTTAGTATTTTTTATTATTTCTTCTTCTGGTTTTTTATTGTTTTTCCTTTCAGTATTTTTTTTTATTATTGTTTGGTTTAGTATTTTTTAATATTTTTTCTTTTAGTATTTTTTATTATTGCTCGTTTTAATATTTTAAAAAAATTTTTCATTTAGTATTTTTTTTTCTTTACTTATTCTTTTGGTATTTTTTATTATTTATTGTTTTTTCTTTTAGTATTTTTTTTGTTATTAATTAAAAAACAAAAATTATTATTAACTGCAATTAAGAAGAAAAAAAAATTAAAACTAACGATACAAAGATTGAAAACAAAATATCCAAAAATAAAAAAATGAAAAGATAAAAAATTCTCTCATCTCAGAAAATGTGTGCTGGTAAAAGAAAAAATATTCTCCTCTCAGAACTAATTGATTTGAAATAATTTCCATGCAGGTAATTACGGTCCAGTGATATTTGTTGCCATTCCAAGATTTCAAAAAGGCGTGCCAATGACACTGGGATATGTTACTGACGCCTTATCAGAGGAAAATAATCCAGTAATAGCACCTTATCCAGATTGGTCGTGGAATACCTTGGAAAATTGCGAAGGCATCATAAGCGTCTACAGAGTACAGGTTTCTGCACAAATTTATTCCTCATTCATAAATATTCTCGCCGTCTTTAAATCTATTTAATTGCAAACCATGCATACCAAATTAAATACATTTAACTGTTTCTCGTTTTCTTTCTTTTTTTTCTTCTAAAATAGTTAGACATATTTTACTAAAATAAAAAAAAACGATACTAGAATTTTTCAATAATTTTAATTTAATAGTTTTCATATTATTATTTAATAGTGTTTTTTTTAATAATTATTGATTAACTAATAATTGAAATTTAATGTAAATAATAATAAGAATTATACATATTTAAATTTAATAATTTTCAATTCTTATCTTTTATTAATAATTTATTAATTTTCGTTTACATTATAGAAAGAATTTTTATTCCGTTAAATATTGAATAAACAAATAAATTAATAAGTAAATAACAATTTATTATTAACTCAAAAAAAAATTCTTCTAAAATAAAACAAGCTATAATAAATAATAAAAACAAAAATCATTTTTTTACTCTAGGAAAAAAATTGAAACAATAATAAAAAACGAATAAATATTAAAATTTTAAGTATAATTAAAAATTATCAATTTTTTTTCCAGATCGATGATTGCAGGAGAATTTGGATTTTGGACACGGGCGTAATGGGCGAACATAGAAAATGTCCACCGCAAATTCTATCGTTCTCCCTCGATACAAATAAATTATTGAGTCGCTATAGATTTCCAAAGGGACAATATAAGGATGATTCATTATTTGTCACGCCTGCAATTGATGTGAGACCAGTAAATGGAAAATGTCGCGATACATTTGTCTATATTGCCGATGTCACGTCATTTGCATTAATTGTTTACGATCATCGACAGCAGAGATCGTGGAAAATTTATAATAAACTCTTTTATCCATATCCAATGCACGGGACATTTCACATTAAAAATGAAACATTTGATTTAATGGACGGAATATTGGGTCTTGCATTGGGACCATTGACGTCTGACGGCGACAGAATTCTCTACTTTCATTCGCTTGCAAGTCAAATTGAATCGAGAGTTTCCACTTCTATTATCAGGTATATTTTGTCAGATGATAACAATTTTGAACTCATTTTTTTTTAATAAAGAATTTTTCTACAAAAATTAAAAATAAAGAAATTAAAATTTAACAAAATCAAATTTAATTTAATTTAACAAAAATAAAAAATCAAATCAAAGAAAAAGAATTTGAAAAATTTGAAAAAAATTTTTAACAAAAAGAATTCGAAATAAATTTAAACAAATAAAAATTGTATTTAACAAAAAGAATAATTATTAATTAATTATTTAAATAAATACCCACTATATTATTGTTAAAATTTTATTTTATATTTATTATTATTAAATAATTACTATATTGTTATTCTTTTAATATTTTATTTATTTAATATTTTTTATTTATTCTTTTAATATTTTTTATCATTTTTTCTTATTGTATTTTTTTATTGTTTTTTCTTTCAATATTAATTTTATTATTGTTCGTTTTAGCATTTTTTTATATTTTTTCTTTTAGTATTTTTTTCTTTGATTATTATTTTAGTACCTTTTATCAATTTTCCTTTTCGGAGTTTTTAATATTTTTTTCTTTTAGAATTTATTTTATTATCAACTTAATAACCGATTGCTTGACTATTATTTATTTAACAAACAATAATTATTGTTAAAATTTTAATAAAACTGCAAAAAATGGAAGACTAACTTTGTTGAAAAATAATAATAATAATAATAAAAAAAAATATTTTAAATAAAATATTATTATTATTATTATTATTGTTTACAGTAGAATACAATTTAAATTCAAAATTTCAAAATTCGGAAAATTAAATCAAAAATTCGTAAACATTTAATTTAATTTTCTCATCTATTTAACAAATTAATTTTATTAATATATAATATTATACTTATATAATTTCAATGGAAAAAGAATTCTATGCAGAAAAAATGGAAAAATGTGTATCAATAAGATTATATCATCGCAAAAAAGAAATAACTGAGAGCGCGGAAAAAAATTAGAAGAATAATGAGTGATGTAAAAATGTGTTAAACTTTTAGAAAGCATTTATAGATATATATGTTTGTTTTTAAGGGAAAAAAAAGTCAGACCACAAGGTTAATCCATAGAATTTTCTTTTAAGTCCTTTCACCATTATAATTATTTTCAAGGTCCGTAAAATATAAAACGGAAAAATACAAAAAAAAAATATATATAAAACGAAATATATATTATTATAAAACAATTTGCGATTCATAATATTATTAAATTTTTGTTTATTTTGAACAATAAATAATTTTATTGAAATAATTTAATAAATAATTTTATTTATTATTGTTTGTATAGTATTGTAATAATTATTTATTTATACAATAATAAAAAATAGCTTAATTCCAATTTTAATTATTACAATATTTTAATAAATCGTAAATAATATAAATTCAATAAATGAATTAATAAAATTCAAAAGAATTAAATAAATTTTAAGTAAAAAATTTTTTATAGAAATTAAATTTCCAAAGTGAAATAAATAAATAAATAAAATACATTAAATAATAAAATTAAATCCAAAGGTAAAAAAATTAAAAACTTTAATTCTCTTTTCTTTTGTAGAAATTTTAGTTTATTTCACGAACATGCGGAAGCAGTTCCAAGGGCCTTTAAACCATTTAAAATGGAAAGAAGTTCACAGTCAGCGGCGGAAGCAATGGATCGAAATGGTGTTTTATTTTATGGTTTAATGTCCGATTTGGCAATTGGATGTTGGAACAGTCGAGAATATCCAGAATTTGGTGGTCTCAATATGGAAACTGTCGCTGTTGATGGTGACACTTTACAATTTCCTTCTGGCGTTAAGGTAAAATTATTATATAATTAATTAATGTAATATTTTTTTATATTTTTTATTTATTTAATTATCTATATTTAATTATATTTTATTTATTTATATTTATTTATATTTATTTTTTTATTTATATTTTTCATTTACGTAAAATTGGTAAAAGAATTTTTTCGAATTACATTTTAGGTGGTAACGAACGAATCAGGTCGACAGGAACTTTGGGTATTAACGTCGTCGTTTCAAAGATACATGAGCGGTTCATTGCATCCAAATGAGACGAATTTTCGTATTCAAGCGGCATACATCGATGAACTGGTTCGTGGCACTAAATGCGATTGCACATTCCACAATAATAATAACAATAATTATTATCCTCCACCACATCATCATTATCATCATTCCACAAAAATTTCAACTCGACCATCAATTTTAAATAAAAATTTTGAGCCAATCAATTTCCCCAGCTGAAGGTCGTGGTACCGCGAGGAGGAGCCATTCGCATCAAAATTCCACCAGACAAGTACAAGTTTCTGGTTTCATCATTTTCCTAGTCACGATTTTCATTTCGATTTCGATGATTTTTCATTTCCTTATTATCATCATCATCATCATCAGTATCATTATGATCCATCATACTTCTCGCGGTACATGGGAGACACAAAATATATTCACAGTTTTGTTAAATGGCCTGCTTTTTATAGTTATTATATTGATCATGGATGATGAGAGAAAGAGAGAGAGAGAGAGAGGAGGCTTGTGAAATGAGAGAAAGAAAATATTTATTCTGAAAAAAAATTTCGTCTCGATTATTTTGACAAAATAATTCAATTTCTTTTGTTTTGGCAAAATAATTCTTCTTTTTGTCTTGACAAAATAATTCCTTTTTGTTTATTTTGACAAAATAATTCCTCTTTTTGTCTTGCCAAACTAATCCTTTTTTTTTTGTCTTGGCAGAATAATTCGTTTCTTTTTGTCTCGACAAAATAATTCTTTTATCAGTCAAGTTTTGTTGACAGAAAAAATTTTCAACTAAATGATTTTTTTCTGTAAGTGCTAATTTTTTTTCAAGTGCAAAGAGAGCGAGAGAGACTAATTTTTTTTATGACGACGAAATCAAAACGAGTTATTCAATTTTTAATCTCGAATGATTTTTGAATAATTGTTGCGCAGAGAAAAATAAATCGAATGCGATTAAAAATATAGAGTAGAATTTTTTTTATGACACTGAAAGATTGCGACGATTTTTGGCAGTAACAAATTTTACAACGTTTCGTTACGAAAAAAATGATATTTCAGTAAAAATAATAAGTTTCATTGTGGAAAAATTCCGTACTTTGTATAATTTTGTAATTGTTCCATATTGTAGGGAAATATTTTATAAGAGTTTTCATCAAAAGGATAATTTAATTTTTTTTACAATTTTTTTTTAATTATACATTTTTTATAAGCGTCAAACTTACTAAATTATTGTTGGTGTAATTAATCAATTATTGTATAATAAAATAGTATTTTTTTCAATATTTGGTGTTTTCTTTATAGTTGAATTTTAATTGAATTAATTAAATTCTTAAATCAATTAATAAATAAATAATTTTTTTTAATTCTTAATGTAACTAATTTACTTTTCAATTTAACAAATTTAATTCTGAATTTAACAAATTTAATTCTGAATTTAACTAATTTAATTATGAATTTAACTAATTTTATTCTTAATTTAACTAATTTGATTCCTAATTCAATTAATCCAAAAATGACAAAAAAATGACTTAATTATATTATTATTAAACAAATTAATTTAAATATTCTATTGATTACTAAAAAGAAAAAACAAATAAAAATAAACAAACGCCTGTTTTACGGCAATGGTTACTGCATGTCTGCATTACAGAAATCTGTATTGCAGTTTAAAAAAATTTTATTTAGGAACTTTTTATTTGCAATTTTGTAATTTCCATTTTTTTTATTTTTTATTTAGATAAAATTTATAAGTTGTTATTAGTACAATTTTTTTATTGTTTATTATTTTTTATTAATTACTTATTGTTTGTTATTAATTAATTAATTATTTATTTTATTATTTATTATTAATTAATAAAATTATTATATTATTATTACCTATTATTAAATTAAAAGTTATTAATTATTTAATTATTCATTGTTCATTTTTATTCTTTAATCATTATTTATTTATTTAAAATAAAAAAATAATAAAAATAGTTTTCAATAAAAAGTTTAAACAAAATTATTAAATTAAACTACACATTGTATTTTGTTTCTTTACTTTATTTTTATTCTAAATATTTTAATAAATTTTGTAATTTTTTCTGAGTTTCAAATGATGCGTGCGGACGTCATAAAAAAATTGTTAAAAAACAAGTTTTGTTTTATTACTTTAAAATATGTTATTTAACAATTTGAAGTTTATCACTGATATCTTTTAATATTGTGCATAATTTTATTTACTTACTTTAATGAATTTTAAAATTTTTTCTTTCGCTCATTAAAATATTCACGTACATTACTAAAAGTTGTGTCGACAAAGTATTTTTTTCAGATATCTTTGTGAACCATTCGATCATGTATGTACTATTATAAAATAATATTCATTTCTGTCGTGTCATATTATTTGAACGCTCATAAGATTATTTTCTTGGAAATTTTCCAAAGAGACAAAAGAAAAAGGCAAAATAATTTTTTGTAAAAACATTTTGTAAGTAATAATTTATTTATTGTTATTTCCATATTTTTCGAATTAGAAATTTTTTTTATTCCTTAAAATAATAAAAAAATTATTGAATAATTATTAAATAATTATTAAATAATTACTAAAAAAGTTATTAAAAAAAATTATAAAATAATTATTAAAAACTTATTTAAAAAGTAGTTAATAAATATTAAAAAATTATTAATAATAAAATGAGACCAATTTGGAGAGAGGAATGGATAAGCGCTTTTTGGTATTTAGAATTATCACCACCATATATATGCATATAAAAATATACTTTCGAGATTAATCATATATAATTATTATGCGTGAAGCAGGAAACTCTTTGGTCTATTTCCTTCCTTTCTGTGATGATAATAATAATTACTGATTTTTTTCTGTATTAAAATATTCTTTATTGTACAATCTCGCAGTTCTGCTCGACACCTTGGAACGTGGCGTATATATAGGAAAAAATTATAATAAAAATATAAATATGTATTCATTAAAAATTTTGGCTTTGCTTTGGCAAATTTTTTTTCTAACAATGGCATTTGCGGAAAAAATGAATGTCATTTACGAATGGAATTATATTGATTATGTGTGGAATTCATCGGATGCTAGGGATGACGCCATTAGAACTGGAAATTACGATTTAAGAAATCCGATTCTTATTGACGTCGATCGATCCGCAGGTGAGTTGATGAATTTATCATTTTAATTTACATTTATTACGTTTATTTATTTCACTATTTATATTTTATTTCGTATTTTATTTTTAATTTAATTGTTTATTCCATTTTCAAATTAATTTTCTTTTTTTATTTAGTTTGCATTTTATTTTTTTATTTTAAATTTTATTTTTTATTTTCTATTTTATTTAATTACTTTATTTTTATTTACTACTGGAAAAAATAATTTAAGTCCAATAATTAATGTAACTAAAATTAGAAATTAATTTTTGTATTTTTCTTTGCTAATATAAAAATTATCCCCCGCTTTACTGGAATGGTTCGTGAATGTTCGTCCTTGGTTCGTATCGTGAACGCTGACACGAACCTGCACGATTAATAAACTCCGCCATTTGCAATTAACTCGATTTTCCTTTTCATAATTAATTCAAAATATTTCATTCTTTTTCTGACATTTTATTTTATATTTATTAAACTAATTAATTACCGAAAATTACTAATTATTAATATTATTAGTAATATTTTTAATTAATTATTACTTAATGCTGAAAAAATTAATAATTAATTATTAAACTACTAAAATTTATTTACTTTTATTTTTTTTAGATGGAAGAACATTTGTCACTATTGTAAAAAGAAAAGGTGTTCCAGCAAGTTTGGGAGTTGTTTCAAATCAAAAAGGACAGGGAGGTCCTTTATTGAAACCATATCCTGATTGGTCGTGGTTTAAACAAGGAGATTGTGATAGTATCACTAACGTTTACAGAGTTGCTGTAAATATTTATTTATTTTAATTACTTTTTTATTCATTATTGTTTAAATAGTTATTTTTAATTTATATTTTCTTTATTCCTTTCTTATTAATTGTTTTTTGTTTCTTTTTTATTTATTTCTTATTTCTTGTTTCGCTTTCATTTATTACTTTTTATTTCTTTTTCATTTTTTTATTATTTTTTGGTTTTTATTTATTTACTATTTTTTGTTTCAATTCTATTTATTTTATTATTTTTTATTTTCCTTTTTATTTCTTATTTATTATTCATCATTTGTTATTCATTACTTTCACTATTTTTATTTATTTTATAATTTATTAAATTTATTTCTATTCAAACTCGTAAATTTTCTGATCTCGTTTAGAATTATTTTTCAGCAAAAAAGAAATTAAAAAAAAGAAAATTAATTAAAAATTTTGGTTCTTTCTTTTAGATTGATAAGTGCAATAGATTGTGGGTATTAGATAATGGAGTGATCGATGACGAACAAGTGTGTTCGGCGCAATTGTTAGTTTTTAATTTAACCACAAATAAATTAATTCACAGAGTGAAAATACAGGATCGAATATCACAAAATTCACAAACTCATCAGGGACTTTTAATAACGCCAATTGTTCAAACCGAGGGCGAACGTTGTGAAAAGTCAAGAGTAAGTTGTTTACTATAAATATTTACAAGAAAAAAAAAATTAATAAAAATTATAATGTCAACAATAATAAATAATAAAAAGTAAAATTGTAAAAATCCCAATTGTTTTTATAAATAAAAAAAAAATACGAAATAATACGGAAACATACGAAAAAATATGGAATAATACGGAATAATACGAAGCAATACCAAATAATACGGAAAAATACGAAATAACACGAAATAATACGGAATAATACACAATAATACACGATAATACGGAATAATACACGATAATACGCAGTAATACGCAATAATACGCAATAATACACGATAATACGCAGTAATACGCGATAATACGGAATAATACACGAAATAATACGGAATAATACACAATAATACACGATAATACGCGATAATACGGAATAATACACAATAATACACGATAATACGCGATAATACGCAATAATACGCGATAATACGCCGTAATACGAAATAATACACGATAATACGGAATAATACACGATAATACACGATAATACGCAGTAATACGGAATAATACACGATAATACGCAGTAATACGCAGTAATACGCGATAATACACGATAATACGCAGTAATACGCAATAATACGCAATAATACGAAATAATACACGATAATACACAATAATACACGATAATACGCAATAATACACGATAATACGCAGTAATACGCAGTAATACGCAGTAATACGCAGTAATACGGAGTAATACGCGATAATACGCAGTAATACACGATAATACACGATAATACGCAGTAATACGCAGTAATACGCGATAATACACGATAATACGCAGTAATACGCAATAATACGCAATAATACGAAATAATACACGATAATACACAATAATACACGATAATACGCAGTAATACGCAATAATACACGATAATACGCAGTAATACGCAGTAATACGGAGTAATACGCGATAATACGCAGTAATACGGAATAATACGCGATAATACGCCGTAATACGAAATAATACACGATAATACGGAATAATACACGATAATACACGATAATACGCAGTAATACGGAATAATACACGATAATACGCGATAATACGCAGTAATACGCGATAATACGCAGTAATACGCAATAATACACGATAATACGCAGTAATACAATACGCGATAATTCACGATAATACGCAGTAATACGGAGTAATACGCAATAATACACGATAATACGCAGTAATACGCAATAATACGCCGTAATACGGAATAATACAAGATTATTTTTTTTTTTTTTTTTTTTTTTTTGCAAATTTTGTAAATAATTAAATTCTTTTGAAAAATTTCTTTAAGTTTTTTTTTTAAATAATGGAGTTTGAATAATTAAAATGTTTAATTAATTAAATTATTATTTTTATATATATATATATATATATATATATATATTATATTATTATTATATTATATATTATATTTATATTATTATACCTATTATTATTATTTATTATTTATCTTTATATTTATTTTTTTTTATTTATATTTATTATTATTAGTATTTTTTTAATACACTAAAAATAGCTCTTGGATATAAACGTGAAAATCGGGGGTTCGATTCCTACCGCGAGCGATATTTTAATAAATTTTAATTTCTGCATTTTTAATATTAAATATAAACTATATAAAAATATAAAAATTAATTTATAATTAATTAATTTTAATAATTAAAAAAATTGTTTTCTCAGGTTTTTATAGCCGACGTAATAGGACATGGACTAATAGTTGTAGAGTTACCATACATGTGGCGTTTGGATGGTCCCTACTTTCAACCGGAACCATTTCCAAATTTATCGGATTCAACAATTGCTGGCGAAACTTTCACATTGAACGATGGACTATTTGGTATGGCATTGTCGCCAAAAATTGGCAACAATCCACAATATCTCGTTTTTCGTCCATTTGCATCGCGCTCATTTTATGCATCACGAGTGAATGACATTATGCAAACAAAATTCGATCAGCCATTAGTTTATTATAATTTCACCAATGTTCTACCGAGTCAATCGACAGCGCAGGCATTCAGTTCAGAGGCGACACTATTTTTTGGTCTCACTGGTCAAATTGCAATTGCATGCTGGAATCAGTACACGGATTTGACAGCGGAAAATATTGTGAGAATTTAAATCTTCCACTTTTTTAAATTCGTTGTTAATAATAATAATAATTTTAAAAAATGATAAATTAATAATAAATTAATTAATATAATCAATAATTATTATTTAATATAGTATTTTATTATTCAATATCATCATTTATTTAAATTATTTAATTTATTTAATTGAATTTAATTAATTAATAATATAAAAAATTAATCATAAAAAAATGTGACCGAAAAGCCTTATAAATTAACTAATATTAAAAAATAAACGGTCATCACTAAGTTGATGAAGATTTAATTAATTAATTTTTATTTATTGAATTTTTGTTTGTTTTGAGTAAAGATTAAAAAAATGTTTTAAAAGTGAAAAAATAACCTTTTCAGGAAATTGTCGCACAAAATGACGAGACGCTTCAGTTTGCAAGTGGAGTCAAAGTGATTCCACCGTCAACGAGACAAGCTGAGGAAGAACTTTGGGTGGCAACGAATCGTTATCAAAAAATTGCGCTTGGAACAATGAATTTTAATGAAATTAATTATCGTATTTCGAAGCAATCAGTGAGAAAATTAATTGCTGGCACTAAATGTCAACTTCCTGAGAAAATTAAACGACAAATGCATCGACATTAATATTTATTGATTCGATTTTAATATTAATTTTTTTATTATTTTTAATATTCAATTTCTATTTATTTTAAAGTCGTTGTATTTTAATGTTACTTTTATTTTTGTATACTATTCTTTCTATTTTAATTCTCTACTTCTATTTTTTTTGTTCTATTTTAATTCTACTTTAATTTTTTTATTTTATTCCTTCTATTTTAATTCTACTTTTATTTTTTATCTTATTCGTTAATTTTAATTACAGATCGCCTCCCGTTCATAAAATGCTAACTCAAAAGTCAATGCAAGACAATTCTATTTGAAAAATAAGTGCAATATGAAGTTAACTAAAAAAATCATGCAAGAAAATTCTATTTCAATATTCAGTGCAAGACAATTCTATCTGAAAATTTTGTGCAAAATATTACTAGGTAAAGCTGCGTTTAAAACAATTATATCTAACTTTTACATGTAAGATAATGAAATAAATAATAATAGTTAAATAAATCTTTCATTCAATGTTAGATAGAATTGTTTTATACGCAGCTTTATTTAATAATATTTTGCACAAAATTTTCAGATAGAATTGTCTTGCACTGAATATTGAAATAGAATTTTCTTGCATGATTTTTTTAGTTAACTTCATATTGCACTTATTTTTCAAATAGAATTGTCTTGCATTGACTTTTGAGTTAGCATTATTTTTATGAACGGGAGGCGTCGCTATTTTTTTTTGTTTTATATTAATGAAAGAAATTTTTAAATTATAATTTCCTTTTACTTTTATTTCGTCTTATTTGAACCATGTTTTTTTTGTTTCATTTATTCTATAATGTTATTCGTCTTATTTTTATGTTATTCGTTTGATACTTAAAATTTTATTCCTTTCATTTTTATAATTTTTTTGATATTTCATTTTTCGTTTGAAAATATCGTAAAACAGAAATGGAAAATTTTTGTGATTTGTTTTAGAGAAATAAAATTATTTTAATTTTAATTGTTAAGTTAAATAAATCTACGCCTTATGATCGGCAACATTGTCTGAGTGTGAGTAAAAAAGTTTGTCATACAGTAGGAGTTGCATTTATTTTTAAAGTATACACTGTATTTTTTTAGATATTTATAATTGAATTATTAAACATCAATAAATAAAATTTTTCTTTAACATATTTTTAATTCTGATTACGTTCGTCTGGAAATTGAAAATATTATTTAAAGTTAAAACTATTTTTAATTTTGAAAATATTATAATATTGAAAGTATTATATTGAAAAAAATACAACTGTTTTGTAAAAAAAAAAATAGTAAACAAAATTTCTGTAAAACAAACTTACAAATGAATTGCTTGCAAATTTTTAAAAATAAATTTTTTACAAAATTTTACAAAGCATTTTTTTTGCTTAAAAGTAATTTTTTGCAAGGCAAATTTTTTGCTTTTGAAAAAAAAGAGTCCTCAAATTTGTAGATAGAAAAGAAATTTATTATATTTATTAGAAAAATTTGTTAATTCTATTCAAAGCAAATGTGAAAAATTTAATTATATATTTTATTCCGATAATTTAATTTTTTATTTTAAATAGTTCCATTTTTTCAATTTTACTTTAAATTTTCAGTTTCCCACCTAATTTTTATTTCATTTTCCTTAACTTTTAGAATTAGTATGGCAATTCACTGATATTGGTCCAGATGATCCAATAATATTCATAGCATGTACATAAATTTTGTTATCAGATCCAGGAATGAGACCAGTAATCGTATCACGTATTTCATTTCGGGCTGAATACATTGGATACTTATTTTGGCCATCAGAGATATAATATTTTTCAAGATATTTATTATCACTGTTAGATTTCTTCCACATTATTTCGCATGTTGTATCCGTTTTATTTACCACTATGAGTGGACCTTCAGGCCTACTAGGTTTCACTGAAATTTAAAAAAAAATAATAACTTCTATTTATTTCTTGTTCAGACTAAAAGTTCAAATTTCCATTAATTAATTAATAATAATAAAAATATATAAATATATATTATATATAAATAATAAAAATATTAAATAATAAAAAAATTGATCAATAATAAATAATTAATTAAATTAAATTAAATCAATGATGGAAAAAAATAAAGGCGTTCATACTTTCGGGAAAAATAGTTGTAATTTTTTTCTCTTTGACAACAAGATCATTAAAGTTTTCTTTAATCCTTAATTTAAAGGTATTTTTTTCTCCTGGCATGAGACCATAGATGACATGTGACATTTTGTTGTTATCATTATAAATGTTCCAATAGTGTTGAATATTATTCTCAGTGAGAAGACTTGCTTCATATCTTTTGTCGGGGATGAAATTGTTAATATCAAGAAATCGAATATTAATTGCATCATAACCAATTTCGAAATCAAAGAATTCGTCAAATTGGTTTTTTAATTAGGTCATCTAATTAAAAAGAAAACAAAATTTATTAAATTTCTCTCAAAGTAGTTTAATTTAAATATTAAAAAAAACAATCTATATTAATAATAATTCATATATTCCGGTAAACTGTTCACAGTTTGAAGTTAGTTATTGTTTCTGGAATAATTTAATGCATTCAAGAAATATTTTAAAAATACCTATAGAAAATAATTTTATTCTAAAAAAAAAATGTCTTTAATTTATTGAATATAATCGATTTTTTTAATAAATTTAATTAATAATTTCACTATAAAAATTTTATTGGAATTATTGATAGAAAGTTAAACTTTTTTAAACAATTTCATTAAAGTTTTGTAAATAATTAAATTCTTTTGAAAAATTTCTTTAAGTTTTTTTTTAAATAATGTAGTGTTTGAATAATTAAAATTTTTTAGTGATATGTTCTTACCTATTTGAGTCTCTTTTTTTATCTCTAACTTTGATTCTGAATTTTCCTCATTGGCGAAGAAAAAATGTTTAATGGGTATCACACTTCCTCCCAGTAAAAATAATAATAATAATAAAAGACTGTAAATTTGATACTTTTATATTAATAGTGTTTATAAAATTTCTAATGTAAATGTACTTAATTATTTTTTTCTTCATTAGACAACAAAAAACTTACAGACTTGTTCTCCCACTCATTTTGACACTTTCTTAAAGAAATGAAGAAAAATGAAAATTATTCTTTAAATATTTTCTGTTTAAACAAGATGCCGCACGTTTTCAAGGACTGATGGCTAATTTTACAAATATTTTCTAATTTTCTTGTTTTACAGCAAAATTTTATTTTATTTTGACCAATTGGAAATCAGTATACCCATTAAGATTAAAATACAAAAATATTTTTTCTGCACTTAAAAATTTTTGGTATTAAAAAAAATATTGATAAATATATAAAATAAATATATAAAAAAACGAGAGAAAATAAATGAAGAGTAGTAAAAATATTTTCTAAATTGATAAAAAAAAAACGTAAAATATTTTTTTTTAATTTTCACATGTCTTATCTTCAAAGATATTTTTCTTTTTGAATATAAAATTGGTTTTTATTTTATTTTTTTTTTTTTTTAGTTTTGATTCCAAGTTTTATTTAAACAATGTTTTTCGTTTCATTTATTTTATAATGTTATACGACTAATTTTTATGTTATATGTTTGATTTTGAAAATTTTATTGGTTTAATTTTCATAATTTTTTCTTGATATTTAATTTTTCTTTTAAAAATATAAAGAAAATAAAAAAAAAATTCAAAAATTTCTGTTTTCTTCTTGAGAAAAAGAAATGATTTTAATAATTGTGTGAGTAAAACAGTTGATCATACAGAGTAGGATGTGCATTTATTTTGAAAGTATACACTGTATTTTTTTAGATATTATTTTATAATTGAATTATTAAACTTCAATAAATAAAATTTTTCTTTAACATATTTAGAATTCTGATTACGTTCGTCGGAAATTGACAATATTTTTTTAACTTAAAAACTATAATTCTATTTCGAAAATAATAATGAAAGTATAGGTATTGAAAAAAAAGACAACTGTTTTGCAAAATAAAATAGTAAACAGAATTTTTAAAAAAAAAATTTACAAATGAATTGCTTGCAAATTTTAACAAATCAACTGTTTGAAAATTTTTACAAATCAATTGTTTGTAAAATTTTTATAAATATATATTTTTTACAAAATTTTACAAAACCTTTTTTTTTGTAAAGTAACTTTTTGTAAGGACAATTTTTTGGTTGTTAAAAAAAATAGTCCACATTTTGCAGATAGACAAAAAGTGTATTATTTATTAAAAAATTTTTTTTCCTTCGATTTAAAACAAATGTGAAAAATAAAATCATATTTTATTCCGATAATTAAATTTTTTTCTTAAATAGTTCGATTTTTTTCAATTTTACTTTTAATTTTCAGTTTCCCACCTAATTTTAATTTTCTTTTTTTTTAACTTTCAGAATTAGTATGGCAATTCACTGATATTGGTTCTGATTTTCCAATATTATTTTCAGCATATACAGAAATTGTGTTATCAGATCCAGGAATGAGACCAGTAATCGTATCACGTATTTCATTTCGGGCTGAATACATTGGATACTTATTTTGGCCATCAGAGATATAATATTTTTCAAGATATTTATTATCACTGTTAGATTTCTTCCACATTATTTCGCATGTTGTATCCGTTTTATTTACCACTATGAGTGGACCTTCAGGCCTACTAGGTTTCACTGAAATTTAAAAAAAAATAATAACTTCTATTTATTTCTTGTTCAGACTAAAAGTTCAAATTTCCATTAATTAATTAATAATAATAAAAATATATAAATATATATTATATATAAATAATAAAAATATTAAATAATAAAAAAATTGATCAATAATAAATAATTAATTAAATTAAATTAAATCAATGATGGAAAAAAATAAAGGCGTTCATACTTTCGGGAAAAATAGTTGTAATTTTTTTCTCTTTGACAACAAGATCATTAAAGTTTTCTTTAATGCTTAATTTAAAGGTGATTTTTTCTCCTGGCTTGAGACCATAGATGACATGTGACATTTTGTTGTTATCATTATAAATGTTCCAATAGTGTTGAATATTATTCTCAGTGAGAAGACTTGCTTCATATCTTTTGTCGGGGATGAAATTGTTAATATCAAGAAATCGAATATTAATTGCATCATAACCAATTTCGAAATCAAAGAATTCGTCAATTGGTTTTTTAATTAGGTCATCTAATTAAAAAGAAAACAAAATTTATTAAATTTCTCTCAAAAGTAGTTTAATTTAAATATTAAAAAAAAACAATCTATATTAATAATAATTCATATATTCCGGTAAACTGTTCACATAGCTTGAAGTTAGTTGTTGTTTGCTTTTTTTATTTCCTAACTTTTTTTTAATAATTTTTCTTTTCGAATACCTATTTTCAATTTAAAAGTTAATGCATTGAAAATCATTGAATTCTTGCAAAGAATTTTATCAAAAAATTTGATAATAATTAAATTCTTTCAAAGAATTTTATAAAAAAATTTGAGAATAATTGAATTTTAAATTTTATGAAAGAATTTCGATAAGTTTTTTTTAAAATAATGTTGTTTTTAAATAATTAAAATTTTTTTTTTGATGTTTTTACCTATTGTAGCCTCTTTTTTTATCTCTGACTTTGAATGTGAAATGCCGTTTTGCTTTACTATCTTCGCAGGTGCTGTACTATTTAAATTATATGTTACATCACTTGAAGTAGGTGTAATCAAATTTCCCATTTTTGAATTTTCCTCATTGGCGAAGAAAAAATTTTTAATAGGTCCCACACTTCCACCCAGTAATAATAACAATGATAATAAAAGACTAAAAAAAATTTATGTTACTTTATGACAAAATAAAAAGAAATAGATGTCCTTTAATTGAAAGGATTTCTTAATAGATAATTACCCAAAAAAAAATTCTCTATTTTGCAAACTAGTGAAATTTTGTTTTTGTAATTTAATTTTACGAATAAATGAATAAATAATTTTAATTTTCTTGTAGATATTACATTAATAGATTGAAACAAAATTTGGATAAAAATATAAAATTGATAGCAAATTGGAGCGAATCGATACAAAAAAAATTATTTTTTTCTTTTTAAATAATTTTATCCATATTTTTTTCATATAAATTCGTTGCAATTTGATACTTTTAAATTAATAGTGTTTATATAATTTCTAATGTAGGAAATACTTAATTATTTTTCTTCATTAGACAGCAAAAAACTTACAAACTTGTTATTCGTCTCATTTTTACACTTTCTTAAAGAAATGAAGCAAAATGAAAATTATTCTTTAAATATTTTCTGTTTAAACAAGATGCCGCACGTTTTCAAGGACTGATGGCTAATTTTACAAATATTTTCTAATTCTCTTGTTTTACTGCAAAAATTTATTTTATTTTGACCAATAGGAAAACAGTATTATATACATTAAGATTAAAATAAAAAAATATTTGTTCTGCACTTAAAAATTTTTTGTAATAAAAGACAAATATTTATGTACACAAAAGAAAATAAATGGAGAGTATAAAAAATATTTTCTAAATTGACAAAAAGAAAAACGTAATATATTTTTTTTAATTTTCATTTTTCTAATCTTTGAAGATATTTTTGTTTTTGAATATGAAATAGTTTTTTATTTTATTTTTATAATTTTCACCCACATAAAAAAGTTTTCGGGATTAGAGCAATATTTTTGAAAAATTTTTTTTCTCCATAAGAGTGAGGGAGAAAGAGAAAATTTTCATGAAATATGACGTCACTATCTCTTCAACGTCATTGACATTGTTCTGCTTATTTCCTGCGAAAAGCAGAAATCAATTTTGTAATATTTTTGAAAATTTTTATTTTCTCCAAAAGAGTGAGAGAGAAAGAGGAGTAAATTAACCGTAACCTAGGCGACCAAAATTTCTCAAAGTCACTTTTATTATTCTTTATTTATATGAAAACTTCTTCTTCTTCTTCTTGTTTAAATGGCCTCTTGCGTATAACACAGATAGCCAGTACTAGTAGTTGGTTGCTAATTTTGAGTTAAGTTGTATGATTGGTTGATCCATAGAAAACTGATCAGAGATCCTCTCAATTGAAGAGAGATTGATTGTTTAACAATTTTAATGATAAGAGGATGGTGTTGTTTGGAGAAGAATCTCTCCTTGATTGAGCGTAAGATACTTCGTTTCCACTTCTATTATCAGGTATATTTTGTCAGATGATAACAATTTTGAACTGATTTTTTTGAATAAAGAATTTTTCTACAAAAATTAAAAATAAAGAAATTAAAATTTAACAAAATCAAATTTAATTTAATTTAACAAAAACAAAAAATCAAAGAAAAAGAATTTGAAAAGTTTGAAAAAAATTTTTAACAAAAAGAATTCGAAATAAATTTAAACAAATAAAAATTGTGTTTAACAAAAAGAATAATTATTAATTAATTATTTAAATAAATACCCACTATATTATTGTTAAAATTTTATTTAATATTTATTATTATTATTAAATAATTACTATTGTTATTTTTTTAATATTTTATTTATTTAATATTTTTTATCATTTTTTCTTTTTGTATTTTTTTATTGTTTTTTCTTTCAATATTAATTTTATTATTGTTCGTTTTAGCATTTTTTAATATTTTTTCTATCAGTATTTTTTTTCTTTGATTATTATTTTAGTACCTTTTATCATTTTCCTTTTCGGAGTTTTTAATATTTTTTTCATTTAGAATTTATTTTATTATCAACTTAATAACCGATTGCTTGACTATTATTTATTTAACAAACAATAATTATTGTTAAAATTTTAATAAAAATTGTGACTAAGTGTGACATGGGGGAGGGGGGGGGGTAAACTCATGTGTTACGTCACAATCTTTTAAATTCAAAGATTATAAGAAATTATATGTGACAATGTCACTTTTTCTAAATAAAACAAGTTAAAAATGCTTTAAACTATTTAATATCTATTATGTACCTGTTTAACATCTATTGGTATATTATTTATAATATGAAAAAATAATATATTCTCTTAATTTGAATCAGTTAAAAATCATGGTTTTAACTGACAATCAGCAGTGACTGAATTTTTGCTTCTGAATCAGTTAAAAATAACAGAAAAATTATCCACAAAACACCGAAACTTTTCTAAATATGTATATTAAAGTTTTATGCTTGCATACTTCGAAAAATTTACTTGCAAAGTTTAGTTAAAATTGTGTAAAAAAAACTTTCCTGAACATTTGAATTACATTTTCGACTATACTTTCGTGAAAATTTAAGTTAAATTTCCAGGAAAGTTTTGCGCTAAACATTTATTGAAGTGGGATATTTAAATCTTTACACAATTTTCACTAAACTTTGCATTTAAATATTTCGAAGCTTGCGAGTAAATCGATTTATTGTGAGAATTTAAATCTTCCACTTTTTTAAATTCGTTGTTAATAATAATAATAATTTTAAAAAATGATAAATTAATAATAAATTAATTAATATAATCAATAATTATTATTTAATATAGTATTTTATTATTCAATATCATCATTTATTTAAATTATTTAATTTATTTAATTGAATTTAATTAATTAATAATATAAAAAATTAATCATAAAAAAATATGACCGAAAAGCTTTATAAATTACTAATATTAAAAAATGAACGGTCATCACTAAGTTGATGAAGATTTAATTAATTAATTTTTATTTATTGAATTTTTGTTTGTTTTGAGTAAAGATTAAAAAAATGTTTTAAAAGTGAAAAAATAACCTTTTCAGGAAATTGTCGCACAAAATGACGAGACGCTTCAGTTTGCAAGTGGAGTCAAAGTGATTCCACCGTCAACGAGACAAGCTGAGGAGGAACTTTGGGTGGCAACGAATCGTTATCAAAAAATTGCGCTTGGAACAATGAATTTTAATGAAATTAATTATCGTATTTCAAAGCAATCAGTGAGAAAATTAATTGCTGGCACTAAATGTCAACTTCCTGTGAAAATTAAACGACAAATGCATCGACATTAATATTTATTGATTCGATTTTAATATTAATTTTTTTATTATTTTTAATATTCAATTTCTATTTTTTTTAAAGTCGTTGTATTTTAATGTTACTTTTATTTTTGTATACTATTCTTTCTATTTTAATTCTACTTCTATTTTTTTCGTTCTATTTTAATTCTACTTTAATTTTTTTATTTTATTCCTTCTATTTTAATTCTACTTTTATTTTTTATCTTATTCGTTAATTTTAATTCTACTTTTAATTTCTATCTTATTCGTTAATTTTAATTCCAGATTCTATTTTTTTTTTTTTGTTTTATATTAATGAAAGAAAATTTTAAATTATAATTTCCTTTTACTTCTATTTCGTCTTATTTGAACCATGTTTTTTTTGTTTCATTTATTCTATAATGTTATTCGTCTCATTTTTATGTTATTCGTTTGATTCCTAAAATTTTATTCCTTTCATTTTTATAATTTTTTTGATATTTCATTCTTCGTTTGAAAATATCGTAAAAAAGAAATGGAAAATTTTTGTGATTTGTTTTAGAGAAATAAAATTATTTTAATTTTAATTGTTATGTTAAATAAATCTACGCCTTATGATCGGCAACACTGTCTGAGTGTGAGTAAAAAAGTTTGTCATACAGTAGGAGTTGCATTTATTTTTAAAGTATACACTATATTTTGTAGATATTTATAATTGAATTATTAAACTTCAATAAATAAAATTTTTCTTTAACATATTTTGAATTCTGATTACGTTCGTCTGGAAATTGAAAATATTATTTAAAGTTAAAACTATTTTTAATTTTGAAAATAATATAATATTGAAAGTATTATATTGAAAAAAATACAACTGTTTTGCAAAAAAATAGTAAACAAAATTTTTGTAAAACAAACTTACAAATGAATTGCTTGCAAATTTTTATAAATCAATTTTTTACAAAATGTTACAAAACATTTTTTTTTGCCTAAAAGTAATTTTTTGCAAGGCAAATTTTTTGCTTTTGAAAAAAATAGAGTTCTCAAATTTGTATATAGAAAAGAAATTTATTATATTTATTAGAAAAATTTGTTAATTCTATTCAAAGCAAATTTGAAAAATTTAATTATATATTTTATTCGGATAATTTAATTTTTTATTTTAAATAGTTCGATTTTTTTGAATTTTACTTTTAATTTTAAGTTTCCCACCTAATTTTAATTTCCTTTTTTTTAACTTTCAGAATTAGTATGGCAATTCACTGATATTGGTTCTGATTTTCCAATATTATTTTCAGCATATACAGAAATTGTGTTATCAGATCCAGGAATGAGATTAGTGACCGTATAATGTATTTCAGGAAGGGCTGAATATTCTGTTCTAACACCTGCGTCAAAAACGATATAATATTTTTCAAGATATTTATTATCACTGTTAGATTTCTTCCACATTATTTCGCATGTTGTATCCGTTTTACTTAACACTGTAAGTGGACCTTCAGGCCTACTAGGTTTCACTGAAATTTAAAAAAAAAATAATAACTTCTTTTTATTTCTTGTTCAGGCTATAAAGGCAAAATTTTCGTTAATTAAATTAAATCAATGATGGAAAAAATTAAAGGCGTTCATACCTTTTGGATTATAAGTTGTAATTATTTCCTTTTTCACATCACGAAACGTTTCACTCGGAGTCCTATGTTGAAATTCGTATTTTACTCCTGGATCGAGATATAGGAAGGTACGTGTCAATGGTCTGTCTTTGTTAAATGTAGTAATGAATTCCGTATGATAAACATTTACTGGTGCAAGACGTACAATATATGATAAGTTGGGAAAAAAATTGTTAACATCAAGAAATCGAATATTAATTGCATCATAACCAATTTCGATACCAAATAAATCGTTAATTGGTTTTTTTATTTCGCCCACTAATTAACGAAAAAACAAAATTTATTAACTTTCATTCATACCTTAAATAATAAAAATAATAATAGGAAATACTTTAAATATCAAAAATATTTTTGAAAATGAAAAAATTATTAAAACATTGCATTTTTCGTAAAGTGTTTATACTATTACACTTTTGAGTCCAACTTTTTTTCTCTGGGATTGATTGTACATGCTGGATTTGCTTTATTATATTCGCTGCTGTTGTACTACTTAAATCAGATGTTATACTACTTAAAGTAGTTGTATTTTTATTTTCTTTTATTGAATTTTCCTCTTTGGGGAAGAAAATTTTTTTAATAGGTATCACACTTCCTCCCAGTAAAAATAATAATAATAATAAAAGTCTGTAAAAAAAATTTATGCTCCTTTTTGACAAAATAAAAAGAAATAGATGTCCTTTAATTGATAGAATTTCTTAATAGAAAAAAAAATCTCTAGTGAAATTTTGTTTTTATAATTTAATTTTATATATAAATAAAAAATTTTCAATTTTCTTGTAGATATTGCATTAATAGATTGTAACAAAATTTGGATAAAAACATAAAATTGATACCAAATTGGAGCGAATTGATACGAAAATTTTTTTTTTTTTTGATAATTTGATCCACATTTTTTTATATTAATTCGTTGCAATTTTATACTTTTAAATTAATAGTGTTTATATAATTTCTAATGTAGGAAATACTTAATTATTTTTCTTAATTAGTCAACAAAAAACTTACAAACTTGTTATTCGTCTCATTTGTACACTTTCTTAAAAAAATGAAGCAAAATAAAAATTATTCTTTAATTATTTTCTGTTTAAACAAGATGCCACGTTTTCATGGACTGGTGGCTAATTTTACAAATATTTTCTGATTTTCTTGTTTTACTGCAAAATTTTATTTTATTTTGACCAATAGGAAATCAGTATTATATACATTAAGATTAAAATAAAAAAATATTTGTTCTGCACTTAAAAATTTTTTGTAATAAAAGACAAATATTTATGTACACAAAAGAAAATAAATGGAGAGTATAAAAAATATTTTCTAATTTGATAAAAGGCAAAACGTAAAATATTTTTTAAAATTTTTATTTTTTTAATCTTTAAAGATATTTTTGTTTTTGATTATGAAATAGTTTTTTATTTTATTTTTATAATTTTCACCCACATGAAAAAGTTTCCGAGATTAAAGGAATATTTTTGAAAATTTATTTTCTCTATAAGAGTGAGGGAGAAAGAGAAGGAGTGAATTTTCATGAAATATGACGTCATTATCTCCTCAACGTCATTGACATTGTCTTGTTTATTTCCTGCGAAAAGCAGAAATCAATTTTGTAATATTTTTGAAAATTTTTATTTTGTCCATAAGAGTGAGAGAGAAAGAGAAGCATTAAATTTCCAAGAAATATGACGTCATTATCTCCTCAACGTAATTGCCTTTATTCTGTTTATTTTCTGCAACCTTTTTCCCCTTTTTATTACTAGCGTCAGGTCAAAATAGTTATTTAAAAATTTTCGTAAATTTCAATTTTATTTGCATTTTATCAAATTTGAATTAATTTTATTTTTTCAAATTTTAATTATTTTACTTTCATTTATTCAATAATTTATTTTTTTAAATTTAAATAATTTTATTTTTACATATATCAAATTTTAATTTAATTTATTTTAAATTTCAATTTTATATTAATTTTTTCTGTTTTAGAGTTAATTTAATTTTCTTTTTTCAAATTTTAATTAATTTTCTTTTTAAACATTTTAATTATACTTTCATTATTTTAAATTTTCAAAAATCTTTTTTTGCAAAGTCGAAATAATTTTATTTTTTCAAATTTTAGATCATTTTATTTTCATTTTTCTAATTTAAATTATTTTTAAGTATTCTTTTTTTAATGTTCTTCAATTTTAAATCATTTTATATTATTAAATTTCGAATTTTATTTTCTTAATTTATTTATAAAAAAAAATTAGCAAATTATTTAACAAAAATGTAATGTATTTTTTAAGAAATGTTAAATTCCTGGGAACTTTTTCACCTGGTCAGTTTATCAACTTTGTCAACTTACAAGACATTTCAAAAATTCCATGTATTAAAAAATAAAATCTAAAAATACAATTTCAGCAAATTTTTGAAAAAATAAATAAATTCAGAAAAAGAAATAAATTTTCAGGGAAAAATGCAATGTATCGAAAATTTAATTTTTATAATTTAAAACAAAATCTACTTCTAAATGAAAAAAAATAATTTCTCATTGAAATAACTCGTAGTTGAATAAATGGAATAAATTTGACACTTAACACACTTTAGTTTAACGGATATATAAAATAATTTTTTTTTTCAAACATTTGAATTATTTTTACAGTCACTAATGCCGTTAGATGGAAATTAAATAAATAAAAATTTATTTATAACCTAAAGTAAAAAAAAAAATAATTTAACTCTGTAAAATAACAATGTAAAGATGATAATGCGTTTTTCTGTACATGAATTTTGACACGCTTTGTTGTTATTGCATTTATGCGTTTTCAAGTACAAAAAGTACAAACTCTTTATATACGTTTTATAATATGTAATAACACTCATATGGTGAATGCAAGTATACACCGGGGTATAAATTAACTCGCAAACTAAAATGTGAATTATAAGCCGCTTAATGTCGATGACTTTTGAGCCTGATGCACATACAAATAGCAGTCATTAATTTTTATAGGGGTCATTGTTTCATGACACGACATGAATTCCATAGTTGAAAAGAGATTCCTTATGCATTTAATGGTTATTGGTATTCAATAACAATTCCCTTGCCCATACGTATAAAGTGAGCGTCTTTTATAAGGTTTTATAAATTGTCTTGAAAAATTCGCTATATGACATACTTCATCGGATTATTTGAAACGTGACGACAGTTTGACAGTAGTTTTTTTTTCATTTCAATATTTTCAATACTTCATTTCAAATATTCGACTAAATGCAATTTTTTTTAATTATCTATATTTTTTTATTCTTATTTATTTTATTTTTTTATTATTTTTTTATAATTTCTTTTTTATTTTCTTAAAACTTCTGTATTAATTTATTATTTATTTTTGGTAATATATTTTTTTTTCTGAAAAGTAAAATAATTTTTTTACGTAGTTCAGGAAGTAAAATTATCTTTTTAGTCCTAGGGAGTAAAACAGCCTTTTTTAAACTTAAGAAATAAAAGGATCCCTTTCTAGGGAGTAAAATAGCCTATTCTGAACCTAGGGAATAACAAGATATCTTTCTAGGCAGTGAAGTAATTTTTATATTACTAGGGAGTAAACTAACTATTTCTTTATAATTTCTTTTTTATTTTCTTAAAATTTCTGTATTATTATTTTTTTTTGGTAATATATTATTTTCCTCTTTTAAGTAAAATTGTTTGTTGACTTAATTCAGGAGGTAAAATAATATTTTTAGTCATAAGGTGCAAAGTAAACTTTGTAGTTCTAGGGAGTAAAATAGCTTCTTTAACTCCTGGGCAATAAGAAGCCTTTTTCACCCCTAGGGAGTAAAGAAGTCTTTTTGAACACTAGGAATTACGTAAACAATTAGCTAACATAATATAAAATGTAACAAAATATATAAATAAAATAATAATAAAATATAATAAATTAATAATAAATATAATAAATTAATAAAATAATAATAAATAAAATAAGAATAAATAAAATAAGAGTAATTATATAAAATGTAACAGAATATAAAAAAATACATAAATTATAAAAAAAAAATTTTGCATCATTTGAATTTATATTAATCAGAAAATTTGAATTCCCAATAAATTCTCCTTCCGCTTTGTTCGTTACAATTTATCTGATAGGTGATTATTATCGCGAGAATGGTGAAAGCAAAAGCGGATATGCCAGCAATAACAATTTAGTTGAACTAACAGGACAATTCTGGGAGTGTGTATAGAGTGTTCTTTTTTTTCCCTTTAAAACCAGAGCGAGAGAGAAAGAGATAAGCTAAATGAAAAGTAATCAACCATCAAAAATCCCATGAGTCAAGAGAGGCATAATTTTTCTATTTTTTTTCTCTTTTTTTTTGCATTCAACTTTAATTTTCCTACACATTCTTTGAAATAAACTGTGGTATCAATTTCTCGTATTCATTTGTATTGAAAAATGAATAGATTTCTTTTCAAGATATCCCCCACTTCAATTGTAATATCATAATTCCCCCCCCCCCTCTCTCAAAATTAAAAAAATTGTTCCCTCTTGAGTAAAAAGATCCTAATGAAAATTTTGATACAATTTTTGTTATTTTTTATTGAATAATATTTTTTAATGATTTAGTTAGTTTCAGTTTTTTTTTAAAGAATAGAAAAACTAAAAAAAAGTAAAATACGTTTAGAAAATATAATTTTACTCCATAGGACTAAAAATAGTATTTTACTCCCTAAATATCGTATTAAAAAATTATTTTACTTTGCAGTAAAGTTTAAAAAATTATTTTTACTTTTGCTTAAATATTTTACTTTGCAGAAATAATATTTTACCAAAATATTATAAAAAATATTATTAAAAAAAATAAATAAATGGAAATTAATAGGTAAAATTTAATAGAAAATATTTCGTAGTTGAGAAAAACTGTATTTAATACTATTAAAATATGATTGGGATTTTTTTTTGTTATAAAAATCCTATTTTAAATGTAGTTGTAATTGGGTGAAATTTGATAATGGACCAGTTTTTCAAAATTAAAATAAAACAAGTTAATAAAGTGCTATATTTTGTTTTAATAATAAGTTAATAACTATGTATAATTACAATGTAAAAATTTTCTAACGATTTTCAAACGAATGTTCTTTGAAATTTACATATTTTCCTGAAGAAGGAATGATGAATGGTCTTACGGTTATTTGTCGATTGAACATTTATTTGGGTCAATTTTATACCCACATGTATCAACGTCATTCGAAGAAAAAAAAATGAAGAAGAAAATCAGAGAAATAGATAAAAAAAAATGAAAAAGGTTTTTCAATTATAACAAAATTTTCGAAATATTAAATTAATTACTTTAGTCTTTAAATAAACGGAAAGTAAATGTAGAAAATTAAAAAAATAGATAAAGTAAATAAAGAACGAAAAAAAATAAAATAGAGAAAAAAAGGAAATCTTTATTTCCTTTCTTTTTTTCTCTAAATTTTATACATTCAAGTAAATCAAAAATTTTTCTGTCTACATTTTTGTAAAAACAGAATTTTTTTCTGTCTAAATTCTTGTAAAAAATTGCTATGTTAAAATGAAAAATAATTAAAACTTAAAATTCACTGAGTTAAGAATTAATAATTTTAATATTTATTTATTTAAACGGAATAATTTTTGTTTTTGAAAAAAATACAAATTAAAAGTAGAGAAAAAAAAATCGTGGTTCATTTTGAAAATTCGATATTTTAGGAATATAATAAAATAGAGAAGATAAAAAATGGTATATATAAAATGAAAAATAATAAAATAAAAAAAAATTAATAAACAAATAAAAAAGAACGTGAAGAAGATAAAAAAGTAAATAAAATAATGAAACTAAAAAAGAAAATAAAAAATGCAAAAATTAAATAATAAAAAAATTTTTTTTAATATTCGGCTTTAAACGTGAAATAAATAAAGAAGTAAATAAAGCTAGTAAAAAACGACTAAATAATAATAATAAAATGAAAATAAAATAAAAAAATAATGAAACTAAAAAAGAAAATAAAAGATAATAAAAATGAAAAAAAACATTTTTTAATATTCTGCTTTGAACGTGAAATAAATAAATAAATAAATAAAGCAAGTAAAAAAACAAGATAAAATAAAGTACATAAACGGTAAATAAAATTATGAAGGTAAAATAGTAAAGAAAATAAAGAAAATAGAAATATGCCAAAT